CGAATGGGGGTTAAAACACTTGACCAACCTCCCCTTGCAAATCTTCGTCTTAAAATCGATCATAAAGTCAGTTTTCATAATAGTCATCGCAATCGTAATATATCGAATTATTAGTATCAGTTTGCCTTATTGGAGTTGGTACTTCAAATAGTTGAAAACGTCTTCTTTCACTTTTCTGATGTTTGAGGCCAACTGTCAGTCAATTTTCAAGAATGCGATTTGCTGCATCTGGAGCAGTGATAATGCGACTGGCTTGATAATTTTTGATCTCTTTGTTGTGAAGCGTTATTTGTTTACTCGGCATTGTTGTGTTCCAAAACAATGCCGAGTAAACAAATATAAGGTGACATTGTTGATGACGTCATTTCTTGAAGACGACGACAAATCACAAATTTTTATAGTAGAAGAAGAAGAAACGAGCGTGAATATTTTGTTGATTATTCAGATCGCTTTGTAGTGGTGAAAAGTTGTGTTTTCTTTGCGGCACTAACTGAATTATTAAATATTATTTAGATGAGCTTCGGCTTCAAGGGCTAATTCCAGGGAAGGCCATGCGATATCCACTGGACAGAAAGCTGTGTGTACCCTAGGACCATACACAAACACTGAAAGGATTCCTAAGTAATTTATAATTATAAGGCTCATGATTAATTAAACGATTTTCATCAATCGAGAAACCTGTTACAACTCCGGACCTCCTCAATCTAGTATGAGTTGAAAGTAGAAGTTATTAGTTTCTCACTTTAAAACTTTCAAGGACTTACATTAGTTGTCAGCAAAACGCGTTAAAAGTGAACTTAATACATCAAGATATCATCAGTTATCACATTAGAACACTGTGGGCGGTCACTCATATACTGAAACATTTCGTTGCTAGAAGAATAAAGATCTTATCACCGAAAGATAATCTTGCTTTGAGAAGAATATAGACTACCATCTATGAACGTTACATGGAACTGATTGAACATACACGCAGAGTAGATAAAATGGCGACAACAGTGGGAACGAATGGATGGGAAGGTAAATATGACAGCTCAGCTTATGTGAAGTACGTGTATATAAAAATAAATTATATTGTCGCCGACTTTATGCAATAAGAGTGCTGGATGTGTGTGAATGTCGTGAAAGACAAGCAGTTGTAATCGGAGTACTCAATTTGAATATGTCGTTTACAGGTTAGAGAGATCTAGATGATGAAAGTATTTTTAAATAGAGTAAAAACAGACTTTTTTTTGTTGAGATGAACACAAACCCCGTTACCAAATTCTAATAGACACTTGTGTTTCAGATATGCGGAAGCAGGCTCGACAGCTGGAAAATGAGATTGACCTGAAACTTGTGTCATTCAGTAAATTAGGCACAGGTCATGGGCCAATAGGGTACAAGTCTGACAGGTCGGTATTATCCGTAATTTTAAGTATGTTTATTGACATTAGTTACTGCTTTAAGTTTATTTTCATTATTAAAAATATTTCATTTTCTAGTACTGACACTGTTCCATTGCTGAGTGGTGAGCACATGTTTGAAACGATGGCTCTTGAAATTGAACAACTTTTGGCCAAGGTAAGAAATTTAATATTACATACAAGGAATAGAATTACTGGTAGTTATCCTCTTCTCCCATTCCATTTTAATAGAATTACAAATGTGGCTTATTCCGTCTTAGCAAAGAATGGTTTGTTGATAAATAAACATAATTTATGATGACTCTTATTTATAAATCTTCGATTAAAGTTTCTAGTCAGTTTGTGTTTATTAAATACTTATCCCATTCAGATAACATTTGCTTTACAGCTATGGATTGGTAGATATAAAGTTGTTAATCTCATTGCTTGTATAGTTTAAGGCACATATGTTTTCATCAAACCTGCCACTGTAATCTGTCTAAACTGAGGTTCCACATGGGATAGTGATCCTCAAATTTTGTATGCTTGGTAAAAACATTCTGAGACAAACGCTCAGTACAAGTAATTCTAAGTTAAACGTGGTATATGTATTTACCACTGTAATGAACCTTGAGTAATTTCTTGAGTAGCTGAGACTAGTAGCTGCTCCATGGATATAATCAGTTACTTTGTTAGTTTATATCAGAGGTTAGAAAGAGATGAGGGCAGAGTGTCTAAGTCCTTAGCCTGTCATATTATACAGGACAGGATGTATGTGTTTTATTAACATAGTTTAACTTTGTTGTAACTAGACTGCTGAAAACCTAAGGTTCCCGAACATAGTTCATAACTCAAGCCTGAAATATTTTTAAAAATCCACAAAATATAAGATTTGAGATTCTCACAACAGTGATGATGTCCATTTTGGTGTTACCCTTGGGGAATGACCCCCATTACCCACTAGACAGGAGGCTGGGTGGGCCCCAGATTTGGTCTGGACACAGAGGCTATAGGAAAATTGGTACTTGTGGGTTATCAGGACACAAAACAGAGAGGCACGGCCCGACATCATCTGGATTCATATTTAGCAGAGTTCATGTGGCGGCGTACAAATAATAACGGCAATATTTTTAAAACGATTCTAAAATCTATAAGCGAATTTTGGCTTCCGCACACAGGTAGTAACAACAATTAACGCAATTAATTTCTACACCTTGCTGGCTACTTTATAGAAGTGCAAGCACTTAATAAAAAGTAGGTATTTTCCCCTGGTACCCATTGGATAGAAGACTGGGTGGGTCCCAGAGCCAGTTTTGACACAGAAGCTAAAGGAAAAATCCTCTGCCGTCCATCAGGGATCAAACCCTGGTCGTCCAGTCTGTAGTCGGTCACTATACTGACTGAGCTTCCCCGGCTCATAAAAACTATAAATGTTTCAATGATTTCAGTGTGATCATGCCCAGCTTCTTTGCCTTCATGTTGCTTAAACATATTTAAATACAACTATATTCAAGATGTCTAACATGTTAGATGAAGTCGAACCGTCTAATGTTGGGAGTGAGGAAGTGTAGCTCATACTCATTCTTGAACTGAACACTAGATTGGTGTGAGTTGTCAGCATGACGTCCCAGCTGCACTTTAAACCCTGGAAAATATCATGAAGTGAAGTAAAATAAGTTTTAAGTTGGCTTCTTTGTGGTTAATTACTTGCTGATATGTTACAGTTATCTGTGCTTAATGAGAGACTTGGTGAGATCTCATCGACACAGGCCGCTCCGCCAAGCTCAGCACTACAGCACACATTGCAGCGTCACCAGGAGATTTTGCAAGATTACACGCAAGAGTTCCGAAAGACTCAGGCCAATTACAGGGCACGCAGAGAGAGGGAAGACCTTCTCAATACTGTCCGTAAAGATATTGAGTAAGTCACAGTTTGTTTTGTTGATTTTTCTTTTTTAACTTTACAGAGATATATGATGGTACTTCCTCCATAACTCTCATTCTTAAATTTTTCTTCCTTTCATAAATTGGTTAAGTAATGACCATAAGGTGAAGCTTTTGCCGCAACCGAAGCTGATGAAAGACTCTCGGGCAACAAGCTGTGTCAGGTGGCTGAATTGTGAATGAACCATTTCTTCCGCCAACGTTTCGAGAGCCATCTCTGCTCTCATCCTCAGGGCAGCTGTGAAACGAAACGAAACTGAGCTGGTATCCTGTGACAAAACTTCTATCTGCCCGGAAGGCCGAGCCAGCGAGAGCGAGCACTTGACCTCGTCTGCCAGTTCCTATTGGTCAGCACGAAACAAAGCAACAGATGGGCCACCAACAAGACGATGCTACTACCTGCCGTCCACTGCCAGTTCCCATCGGCATGCGCGCTACATAGGACCAGTTTTGTTTCAAAGCTGCCCTGAGGATGAGAGCAGAGATGGCTCTTAAAATGTTGGCGGAAGAAATGGTTCATTCACCATTCAGCCACCTGACGCGGCTTGTTGCCCGAGAGTCTTTCATCAAGTAATGATCAGTTTCGAATCAGGGGAAATTCATTCTCATTCTTTGTTAAATGTTTAACATTTTTGTACCCTCCTTCATGGTGAAAAATATTTTCCGTATCTCAGCCGGTAATTCACAGAATTCCGTGGCTTTCTTTTCCATTCTCAGTATGTATCCCACTTCTTTTGTACAGTTTTTATTCAGTTGTATATGATGTGGCCCTACCACTTAAGTTTCAGTACAGTTGTACAGGCACGTTATCTTGATATCCAAATGAGGGTCAAGCAGGGGGAGGGTGGAATGGAAGAAGGTTTCAGTGCAAGTGATAGGAAACATTTCCTCTGCTCCGGTCCTTTGACCACTTGCTCATTATATTGCGTGTGGTGACGATTGTCACCAGATTTCAAAAAGAGGGATTGTGTTTTTAAAGTTACTGGAGACTTAGGGATTTAAGGTATCGAAGGAATACGTAAAGTAATAAATGTTGATGGTGCTGTACATTAGTCACTGCAGGTAACATTTTTCTGTTGCTGTTATAGGTTTGAAGAAGCGAGAACAATTTTTTGTTTGGTTGAAGTTTAAATTTTGTAATTTGTTATTAAGTCTGCAGGAGTGCATTTACTTACATTTGAATATTTTATTTTATTTTATTTTTCAGCAACTACAAGACTTCATCAGGGTTAAACAGAAGGATGGATATGTATTTGAAAGAAAATGAACATGTTCGAAGGTAAAGTATCAGATTGAGGTTTTGTAACTGAAAATAATATTTTAGTAAATATGACCCCTTTTTTCATCATTTTGGAATTGATGTGGATTCTCTCATAATGGGCCAAAATTCTTCCTCAGTGCCCTGTTCTTATATACGCTTAATCTATGTGACCCAAGTTTCACACCAATACACAGTGGGCCATTTTTGTTGTGAGCTGATCAAAATTAAAGGTGTGGGGTGAGCACTTTTATAATTTCCCTTAATATTTTAATTTATTGGTATAGAAATCGTGTATCACATTGGTTCTCATGTGCCCAGCAAAGAATGTGTCTTGTTGATACAGCATATTAAATTGCCATTTAAATAGTTGTATTGTATATCTGTTTATTGAAGGTAAGTACCAGCTCATGTTTAAATTTTGTAGTACTTTTAATATTTTTAATGTGAGAGTAGAGAACATATTAATTTATAAAACAAGTTTTATTCTGTCAGAGCTATAAACTTAGTCTGGTCAGCTTTTGTTGTAATTCTTGAATGTTTTTAACAATATATTATTTTTAATTATTGTCTCAGCTGTATGTAAATTGCTCTGACTTTCATAATGTTTTAATCTTTTACCTATAATAATACTGCTGAATCTACGTATACACTATTATTGTTTATTACTATAACAAATGGTTATTGCATAGGGCATTTTCAGTTATGTTAATTTGATTATTTCTGTATGAATTCGGTAGCAATAATTCATACGCATATTACCACCTGATGACGACCTTTAATTGGATTGCATAGTGGACCCGGTTAATATGTTGAATGCCTGTAGGATGTGTCAAAGGTCTCCTGTTTCCCGTTTAGTAAACTGAGACATAACAAAATACATTTTGTTGGTATTCATAAAGCCTTTTGTTCTATTTTCTTATTGGGTTTTTATCATGTTGTTTTCATCTATGACTGCAGTTCTGACCGGCTACTGGATGAACAGATCAACATTGCTGTAGACACCAGAGATCACCTTGTGTCTCAGCGTCTCACATTTAAACGCTTACAGACCAAGATTAACGACATCTCTAATAGATTTCCTGTTGTCAATAGTTTGCTTCAAAGAATTAACATTCGCAAACGAAGGGATTCTATTATTCTTGGCCTCGTTGTAGGAGTTTGTACGGTATTGCTCCTGATGTATGCATTCCATTAGAACCATCATGGCTGTGCCTGTATCCAGGTTCTGAACAAGACCAGAATCGAATCTGAGGTAACTGTACCGTAATTGCTAATGGGCGGAGTTGCTTGCTCTGTTCCAGAGATTCTTTCTTGTTCTGTCAGCTTTGGTTAGTCCTATAAGCCTTGTATTTTTCTTTTGGAAGTAAAGCTGATGTAAGAATTTCACTGTACAGTCATTCATAGTTTCTTTAAAGGCATAATTAAGGAATTTAATTATCACATTTATAAATTGAGATAACTCCGTTGAACTTGAAATATAAATTTCATATGACTTTAAACTGAAGAAAATTGCTCTCAACCAATACCTGGTAAGTGGGAATTTCATGTACCAGTAATTTTAAGCATGGTAAATAGTAATTATGTTTTTGTAAATATCTGCCTTTGAATAATAAGGCCATTGTCCATGGTGTTTTGATTTTAATGATTACATAATTCATTCAGACATCTTGAAAAGGGCCTTAATAGATTTTTGGTGAAAATTTGTTTAGAAAACCTTAGTATTCCATGCATATCCCCCAAAAGATGGCATTATTGCTCTTTCTGGCATCACGTCTGAAAGGGGTGTTTCTAAGCTGAATTGATGCTCATGACACCAAGGATAAAAATATGGTACTAAATATTGGAACGTGGAATGTGCGCACTCTGTTACAAGTAGGAGCGAAAATGTGCGCACATTCCGAGGGGAAAATTCTGATTCGGACCATTATTTAGTTGGGATTAGAATGAAGCCAAAAATATCCATGGTTACGATGGGAGTGAGGGGATGGAGAAGAATTGTGAATGATAGGACAGAATGGAAAAAATTCGTCGAACAAGCTAAGACCCACATAGGGTTATAACGCTACAAGAAGAAGATACTCATGACACGTAGGGGATGTATAAACAAAGTTACATTGAAAGACTTGAAATGATTGCCTATGACCTATGAGTGGCAGCAGTACTTGTTCTCACCTTGGAGAAAGCTTATTTGCAGAGATATGTCAGTTGGCGTCCTGCATTCCATACAAAAACAAAAATATTTATGATGTAATATTAGCATGACCTGTATGGAACAGGGATGGCTGTGGTGGTAACCGAGAAGATAAGCTCTAAGTTATGTCAGATATTGTTGTTATTGGTTTGTACAGAGTGATTGAAAAGTCACGCTACCCATTCCTGCACATATTATATTTGTATAAAAAATTACATTTAAATCAGAATCAGAACTGTATCCCTAAACTCATCATGGCAAACCAAGTACAAACGAAATGCCAACGATATTGTGTTTAAAACTTTATAGCATCATTGCTTCAGCCCTGAAAGTGGAGAAAATATGTTTCTCCAAAATGTTGGCATCTAATGATGATTTTACACAGTGCCAAAACCCAGAAGAATATTATCATTATCTTCACTGCTGTGAAAACCTCAAATCCTGAAATAACATCCAAAAATAATGGTCACAGTTTAGAGCTAAGCTTCACTGAAGAAGGGTGATTGTAGAGAACATCTTGTAGAATTTCTGCTACATCATGGGCACACCCCCAACTGAGTGTGACTCCGCTTCCTCCATGGCCATAATTATGGATTACCTGTGCAGTAAAATCAACACTATATAATTTTAGCTTTTGAAATCTTTAGTAAATAAACTTAAAATAAATAGGTAAACATGAAAATTATAGTACAGTAGATTCCCAATTATCTAGGGGCAGATTAACTGGGATCTGTCTGGTTTAAACAAAAATTAAAAATTTATTTAGAAAATCTTTAAAAGAATGTTTGAAAAGAAAGGAATACTATGTCATGTATTAACATGAACCAATTATTACTAAAATCTGAAGTTCATGACAAAACATTATTACTATTTACTGGATTCCTTTTTAAAAAAAAATATTACTGTATTAAATTTCATATGAAATCCTTTCAGTTTTTAGAAAATCTTCATCTCTTCATGACCACTTTACCTTCATCATTTCAGCTTCATTGTACTTATTTATCCTCTCATTTCACATGAAATAACCTTTGCCGTTAATTGAGCACTGTTAACTTATGAACCAACCAATCGTGATCACTATGCCTGCACTTCTGGGAATCTTGGGTATTACAATTATTCTTTTAGCTCAACATTGAATATTTATTTCTATATATGTACCTCTAATGCGTTTCCATACTCGTCACTTATGCATTCCCTTTCAAGACGCACTTTGGGTCTGCCAGGACGAAGACCAGCCCATTCTTTCATGATCACAGCTTCCTTAAGTGAAAATAGCATATTTATGAGTTTGCAGAAATTTTTTAACATCATTTCTATTGAAAATATAATAGTTTGACTACAATTCTTTAGCTCAATTTTTCTCCACTTTCAAAGGCTTGCCATTTTCTGGGCATGTTAGTAGGATATTTGTATGTTTGGAATACTTGAATTTTTCTTTCCAAGAACCTTGAAGTTCCTACATAAATTTTGTTCTGATGTCATTGATATCCTGACATGGAAAGCAAAGGTGATTCGAAATAGCTGTGCACCTGTAAGAATAGAAAGTGTTTCAGTGGGTTGTGTTGTAACTCTAAGTTCACCGCGAGAGATATATTTATGTTATAAAAGGTGCACAGGGACTTTTGAATCATCCTGTATATACTAAATAAGGTGAAACTGTTTAGTAGTTCTATCTCATAATTTTACCTATTAACAAACACATTTTGCGTGCACAGTAACACCATGTTAAATGCAAAGGTTATGTTTTTAGAGAATAAACATTTTAGTGTATTTATTTATGTATAAAAATATTATGCAAATTACCCTAGGTTAACTGAAGAGAATTTTGTTGAAGATGTTGGTTACATAAATGGAAGTACATTAACAATAGAACATTATCATGAGAAATAAGAGATTATATGAGTGAGAGCATCTTAAAAACTGGGAATATCTATGGACACACTTAATACACTGTCAACTGAAATTTTTCTGTATAAAATCAATGCATTACTCGTGCATAATATCATGAAGTTCTTACTTTCAGCCCTGGAATAAGTTTGCAGCATCCTTTATGAATGGCTATTGAATCGGTTGGATCCGGTTTTGTGTTCCAGTTTCCTTCCTGTTGTGTTCCACCAAGAACCACATACTCTTCACTGGCACAACAGAACAGAACACGTAACGCGTGTATATACATATATATTTGGATATATGCATATGTGTATGTTACTATTATGTCATTTCAGAATGTCATTTTTGTCTTACCTTATCTAATAATACTTAGTAACATAATTTAAGTTAAATGTTGAAAAGTTATCATGTAAAGATCAAGTTATGCTTCTTGGTTTTATGTTTATATGCGTAAATATATCTAAAACATTTTAATCTTCATTTATTAGGCATCCATATTTGACAATGGTCTATATTGTCCCAACGCTGCATACACCTAGTATAGACTTACTTTGGTATAATGTAATTTCCTTCGTCTTTGTCTTCTAAAACTGCGTGGAACACCCATGGTGCTTTCACCTGAATATATGCAAAAGTAGTTCTGTTAGTTCTTTATTCATGTATTATTTTTTCCAACCTCAGTAGCAGCAAATGGGTGTTGAGTTTATAGTATTTCATGGACTGTTGTGAGGATGGATTGACTTTCTTATGAACATATTAGCATGCAGAGAAGTATGTTCATGAGCCTACTGCACTTCTAGAACCTTTTGATGCTATATAGTCTAAACTACTGAAAAAGCATCATCAAATAAACTATAAATAAATTATAGAATCTTGTTTAACTTCCTTGATCTCTGTGTTTCTCTTAATGGTATTTGTGGTCAAGGCTAATTATGTCAAAAGGTAGACTTACCCTTAAAACCTGGCCTCTCACTGGCTGAACTGAATTGTCACCTACTAGGTTGCGTGCTTGCACACCACTGCAGTTTATCACAACGTCATATTGTTGCCCACAGAGGTCGTGGAGGTTCTCCACCTTACGATGCAACACCTTCCCTCCATTAAGCTTAAACTTCTTTAACAGGTACGGCAGAAAGTATGATGGCTCAAGTGTAAACGAGATGAAATGTACACCGCCTCTGGGTATCGGAATAAACACGAAGTATTACATTGATGGCAAATGCTCTTCTGTAGTTATGAATGTCTGTGTTCTCTGCTTCTGTTTCTCTTGTTAACGGTTAAGAAATCAAAATTAATTTGGATCTTGTTTTTGGATGAGGACAGTATATAGATGTACACTGTCTTCTGAATGTTTTGGAGGTCCTTGCTCTCTCCATCTTCATCCTAAAGTAATAACCCAGTGGCCATTACTGATTCTTATAAAAATGGTAGACAGTAAGGATCACTTAAATGGCAGAAATGTTGATGTTATGCATTGTGCTATTGCCCAGAACTGCTGTGAAAAACTGGAATATTCTGTACATCAGAATTAGTTGTTCTGTACAGTTACGATTATCTGCATTGTCCATATGTGAAGTATTTATGTTTGAAAATGATTAGTTTTCCTTAGCACATTGGTGGTTCAAATGGACCCTACATTTTTATTGATTCCCGTAGTATAACATTTTTAGGAAAGATTTGTGGCCGATTAAAAAACAGAAACATTGAAAATTCCAGATCCTTGCATGTCAAAAATGGTTGATCACATATAGATGTTTTGTAGCATGAAACAGATCATTTGTTCTGACAATGGGTGAATTATTATCATTCAGAAATGTTCTACTGTGTTATTTAATGCAATGAAAGACTGATGTGTACAACACTTGATGAAATCATATCTAATAAGGATTAGAGTGTGAACTATTCAGTAAGACACAACTAGTGACATATTGAAGAACCACATCAGTATTTTGTCTGCTCTCCAGTGATACTTGTCATTTCATACCACATTGGCTGCTATGTTCAATCACATTTCAGTCCTGTCTCCGTTACTGTACACGTGTACTCACGTGAGTTTGGAATCATTGTCCGATGATAATTTCTGCGCTTGGTGGCTGCTAATAATATGATGTGCTACTGGAACTTTGGTCCATTCTGGCTGTTCCATATCTGCTCCTCCTGCCTTCTTTGTTAGTTTATAGTAAGGAATCAGTGATACTCCAACATCTCCTGCTTCAGGGCTTTTCCATAAATTCAGCATGTGATTATACGTCTTGCTGGACCAGTGTCTGTAAAATTAAGCTGCAGTCTGATTGTCCTTTGTTTTGTAAAATAATGTAATTTGATGTGTGTTTTTTCACTATAAAGCTTTTCTTTCTTCTCTCTCCCCCCCCCCCCCCCAAATTATATGGCCAGCTGTTAGCACAATGGAACCTTCTGCCTGTGTGTATTTATCATAAATAATGTAATTGAAAACATTTTGATTACAATTTATGTTAAATTCTGTTACATAAATCAAAGTACAAAATCATGTTTTTCAACAGAATGTGTCATGAGCTTTTGAACTAAATGTTGTGTATAGTTCATTAACCTGGAATTTCTTATGCTGTTTCTTTAAAAACATCTTGACTACTGTCAGATCGTATTGGGGCATTGTTCATATGGTGAACAGGCACATTCCTTGGCAAGAATCAGCCATTTGTTGTGCTACACACACTGTCAGGGTAGGTATGTGCATCTGAAGATAAAAATACATGGTGGGACAAATATCCTCTAGGCTTCAAATAAAACTTATTTTAATAAGATTAAACATTCAATGTTGTGTGTATACGTTCATTGTACAATATCCTTTGTTTAAGATAATGGTAACATAACTAAAGAATTTTGGCTTTTGACAGTGGTAAGATAAAACAAGTTGAAGTTTATTTTTTGTTCATGACATGTCTCATTGTCAGGCACCTTTGTACTCATGACTCATTGTGTAAGTATCAACAAAAAATCCCTACATTGCTGTAGATGTAATATTAAAGTGATTTCCTCTTATTGTTATGGAATATACATTACTTCATGAATATGCAGAGAATGAAATAATAGAGACAAAATGTCCAACATGGCTCCAAAATATAACTTTTCCTTATAGGCCTATACACAAGAACTGGAAATTTTTCGTGGTACATCTTAAAACAGAATCTTCATTAAAAAATTATTTTAGTGTCTTTTGGTTTGTGTGTAGGTAGTTATGAGTGCTTCAGAGGAATATATATCCTCCATCTTCAGAGTTCTTGTGGAACAATCCACTCGGAATCGTTTGCCCAGAAGTTGTATGTATATGCTGTAAAGTGTGTGTCATGTCTACTGACTAATATTTAAAAAGTTTTTATTTTGCTATACATCCAGAACTTCTCTTACTGATTTATGAGGTAAGTTTCCTTTCTCCAAGTCAGTCCATTAATTTCTGTCCACAAATCAAACTATAAGTCTGCAGTTTTCATGCAAGGCTGGGCTATATATAATCTATATTGAACTAATGTAAGTTTTATTTATTCTTCTTTCATATCTAAGTTATAAAAATTATACTTAAAACAGATATATAACCTGAATAATTAATCAGTATGCCATGAAATGTAGAAATTGACATAAGGATTCAGTATATGTATTGCAATATATTTCAGTAAAAATCGAAGTTAATATGTCCATGGTCATCATCAAAATCATATTTCAAAGTATGAATTGTTTTAAGACATACAAAGAAGATGAATGAGAGAATCTGGTTGGTGCTACTTCTTACAGAATGTCGCTTTGAGGTGTTTGTTTGAGACAGTATGGCAGCCAGAGTCCAGCAGAGCCATCACCTGTGGTCTGAGGGCTGAAGTGATCGGAGATGATGGTCACTTGCAGTCCTGGAATTTTCTCTTGAGCTAATACAGCTGTACTCAGTCCAATAATCCCAGCTCCAATCACAGCCACGTGGGGACCCATGGCATGTATCCAAATGGGAATACCTGGTAAATCCTTATTCTTAATTGATTTAATGATATCTGTAGCTAAATTTGATTTATAACTTATAATTTAAACTAAAATTTGGTATTGGGGGTTTACACTAAATTTTGTCAGGTGAATGAAGATATATGTAATGTTTTTTCACTTCATCAAATACAACAAATTCTGTAATTATTATGACAGTAATGTTTATAATAATTCCAGTGATATTACATTGTGCAGGGTGTCCAAAAAAAGATATATACATATTGTAATATGGTGACCAATTGTCAGTCAGCTGTTCATTTTCAACAGAATGTGTCATGAGCTTTTGAACTAAATGTTGTGTATAGTTCATTAACCTGGAATTTCTTATGCTGTTTCTTTAAAAACATCTTGACTACTGTCAGATCGTATTGGGGCATTGTTCATATGGTGAACAGGCACATTCCTTGGCAAGAATCAGCCATTTGTTGTGCTACACACACTGTCAGGGTAGGTATGTGCATCTGAAGATAAAAATACATGGTGGGACAAATATCCTCTAGGCTTCAAATAAAACTTATTTTAATAAGATTAAACATTCAATGTTGTGTGTATACGTTCATTGTACAATATCCTTTGTTTAAGATAATGGTAACATAACTAAAGAATTTTGGCTTTTGACAGTGGTAAGATAAAACAAGTTGAAGTTTATTTTTTGTTCATGACATGTCTCATTGTCAGGCACCTTTGTACTCATGACTCATTGTGTAAGTATCAACAAAAAATCCCTACATTGCTGTAGATGTAATATTAAAGTGATTTCCTCTTATTGTTATGGAATATACATTACTTCATGAATATGCAGAGAATGAAATAATAGAGACAAAATGTCCAACATGGCTCCAAAATATAACTTTTCCTTATAGGCCTATACACAAGAACTGGAAATTTTTCGTGGTACATCTTAAAACAGAATCTTCATTAAAAAATTATTTTAGTGTCTTTTGGTTTGTGTGTAGGTAGTTATGAGTGCTTCAGAGGAATATATATCCTCCATCTTCAGAGTTCTTGTGGAACAATCCACTCGGAATCGTTTGCCCAGAAGTTGTATGTATATGCTGTAAAGTGTGTGTCATGTCTACTGACTAATATTTAAAAAGTTTTTATTTTGCTATACATCCAGAACTTCTCTTACTGATTTATGAGGTAAGTTTCCTTTCTCCAAGTCAGTCCATTAATTTCTGTCCACAAATCAAACTATAAGTCTGCAGTTTTCATGCAAGGCTGGGCTATATATAATCTATATTGAACTAATGTAAGTTTTATTTATTCTTCTTTCATATCTAAGTTATAAAAATTATACTTAAAACAGATATATAACCTGAATAATTAATCAGTATGCCATGAAATGTAGAAATTGACATAAGGATTCAGTATATGTATTGCAATATATTTCAGTAAAAATCGAAGTTAATATGTCCATGGTCATCATCAAAATCATATTTCAAAGTATGAATTGTTTTAAGACATACAAAGAAGATGAATGAGAGAATCTGGTTGGTGCTACTTCTTACAGAATGTCGCTTTGAGGTGTTTGTTTGAGACAGTATGGCAGCCAGAGTCCAGCAGAGCCATCACCTGTGGTCTGAGGGCTGAAGTGATCGGAGATGATGGTCACTTGCAGTCCTGGAATTTTCTCTTGAGCTAATACAGCTGTACTCAGTCCAATAATCCCAGCTCCAATCACAGCCACGTGGGGACCCATGGCATGTATCCAAATGGGAATACCTGGTAAATCCTTATTCTTAATTGATTTAATGATATCTGTAGCTAAATTTGATTTATAACTTATAATTTAAACTAAAATTTGGTATTGGGGGTTTACACTAAATTTTGTCAGGTGAATGAAGATATATGTAATGTTTTTTCACTTCATCAAATACAACAAATTTTGTAATTATTATGACAGTAATGTTTATAATAATTCCAGTGATATTACATTGTGCAGGGTGTCCAAAAAAAGATATATACATATTGTAATATGGTGACCAATTGTCAGTCAGCTGTTCACTGCTGTCAACTGTGCTGTGAAGCTAACGGTGGTCATTTCAAACACCAACACTAGATTCACCAATTCACTAAATACCAACGCTGATGTATGTCAAGGCTTAGTTTATTAAATGTCTTTATTTCATCCATTCAATGTGTATTTACATCTTATTGTGACACGCTATATATACTTTCATAAAGTCTTAACAACAAGATGCTGGAATATAAAATCACTAATACAAACCCTTATTTCACACAAAACTTAGACTTTATCAGTTTTTTAAAAGCAGCTCATTGTACACAAAATTGGTATAATTGTATTGAACATATTTTTAACATGGTGAATATTTATTGAGTAATATAAAACAAAATAATTTTTGACGTAAATACTTTTATACGGAAGGGTCATTCGGCAAAAAAGTGTAACGAAGATGTGTAAGATCCATATCAACAATGTGTAAATATGGACCGACAACAATGGTCAGCTTTTATATGAACTGCGTGCATTGGTATGTTACCTAAGAACTATGTTGCGTCATCTGTTTACTCGGCATTGTTGTGTTACATTACTGCCATCAACAATCTGCTTTCGTTATTGTGGAAAGAGCTGAGCTCTGAATCGCTTGTAGAAGTGTGTCGTAGACTAGATAGCTGTAATATGGTTTTGCTTTGGAACAATAGTAATGTATGTGCAGTAAATGAACACCAAAGCCAATAAAATGCAGTTGATATGAGAATTCAGTTGATATATGTATGCCTATTCACTTGTTTTTATATGATAATATCTGATATATTTAATCTGGCAGCAAATAACAAAAAATATGTTTTGTTAATAAGAACCAGCTTTTGGTAATTATAATACTCATAACTTACCCAGGGAAAGCTATGACAACACTGACTGCTTGTATGTAACAGGACACAAATTACATTTAATAAATAAGAAAGCTCAAAGTGATACTGCACAACATCTTAAGACTTACAGTATTATATTGTAAGCTGAAATCTAGGAGAGCTGCTTTTCAACTTTATCACTTATGTGTGATTAATTCTGATGTTATGTGAACACAGACTATATGTGTTTACTTGGCAACTGGCAAGGTCACATTTGATAAAAGGAAAGTTATATTGCTATTTTCAACAACAAAGAGTGTGTGTACATTAATGTAATCATGTCACTGTTATCTGATAAGTACAGTCCTGTTCAATCGTCACAGTTGTCCTTGAGGAAATATGAACTTGACTGGTAGTTTTATTCAAATGCAAATATTTGTAGTTCATATTAAAAATTTTGAATTTAATGCAACATAAATGAACATGAAAAATTGATATAATATCAACTTATCATCACAGGTTAAGATTTTGCCTTGTACCACTGACGTGGATTAAAACTCATACTTAATCTAATTTATGTTTCATTCTACAGCTGGTAAACCAGCCCACTTTCGGTAAGGCTTGGACAGATGTGGGAAATTATGCTTTTGCCGCTGGAAATTGCTCAGTTCTCTCAAAAAGTGACTTCTGTGGTTTAGCAAATGACCAATTCAGTTTTGCAAAATTAACAGTTTGTGAAATAAATGTTCGCCTCGTGGCATACCGAGGCAATTATTATTTAGTGTTCTGTCTGACGACAGGTCCATATGAACAGGATCCTTCCATCCTTTTCTCGGACTGGGACCTGTTCATATACGTTCTTGGCCAGATGATCCAGAAGTGGTTTGCCATTGCCTTCTTCTGTGTGTGAATGGAGTAATTGTTGGGATGCCACGGAGGAAAACTCCGTGTTGCCTAGACCACGGCCTTGCCCAACACAAGTTATAAATTCCGGCACCGCCGGGAATCGAACCCGAGACCCCAGGATTACAAGGCCAGCGTTCTAACCGCTAGACCACCGTGACCGAGGCAACTCCAACATGTTCGCCTCGTGGCATACCGAGGCAACTCCAATTTTAATTCGGGATCGCATACATGATTAAACAAACACATTCCATTGCCTGCACAGGCAATATAACTCTCCGCTAGGTTACAATGACCGTAGTGAGCCTGTTCTCGAAGGCTTGTATACGAGAGTTCGAGAGCGACATTCGAGAGTTTGACTCGCACGAGGAAAAGCACTCTGCGATCCGAATTTCATCTGTCACCAGTTGTAATATCAATGACATTTTACGTGCTGTGGATGTGTGAGTTGAAGAATTTGCAGACAGTTGATTGTGCTACTTAGAAACGATAGAAGCTTTGTGTTTTGACATTTTTTTAGGTGATGTCCGTAGCTGTATCTTTATGCGTATTTCGAATTGAATTAAGTGATGTTTGTACTATAGAAGCTGATAAACAAACAGGTGAGGTTGTAATTTAGTCTCTGTCTTGTACTTTTAATTTTGTTAGGTTTCTGTTGAATTGTTACACAGTCCGTTCTTTTCAGTGCCGTGTGGAGCCATGGCAGCGGAAAGTGACAAACGTCGATTCGCACGGGGACGACGTGAAATGCGTGATATTACAATTGAAACCTACTCTAGTGTTACTGGGGAGGCAAGACCTAGTGGACTAATTCCTGGTTCAGATAGCAGAGTTTCGTCAGCTTTGCCTCTTACTGCTGCTGAAGGTAATCAGTTGGGTTCTGTAATGGGGAAAGATCCTGGTTTCCAAATACCACCACATTCCAAGGTGGAGAACTATTTAGATGAGTGTGTGACAAGGCATTACAGAGCAACAGTATGCTGAATTATGCCCTTACTGACCAAGTTCTATTCAAAGCCAAGTTAAGTGCTGGAATATTGTTCTTTGTAGGCACATACATATTTTTTCATCGACATGAGCACTGCCCATTTCCCCATATCGGACAGATGCAACTGAGTGTGATTATACAGTGTGCATCTGTTTCTGTCGAATACCAGACTCTCATCATTTGCAGGTTTGCATATCTGCTTATTTGCAAAAAAATTGTTGTGGTAATACTTGAGCATTGTGTCATATGTCCCTTGTTCTTTCATGGTTGCTCCTGTGCAGGTGCAGAGTATTGGATTTGGAAAAGTGTACTTTGTGCTATGGATTTCTTCTTTCAGATCCATTTGTCAGTCAAGTTGTGCAAAATTATACATTTTTGCTTATGCACTCAGTTTCCTGATTTTGCAAGAATGGAATGATGTTCTTTCTTCTATACATTTTTGCTTATGCACTCAGTTTCATGATTTTGCAAGAATGGAATGCACACACTCTAAATTGAAGTACACTTCTGCCATTGTTAACAAAAGTGTTATTTTTAACTTTTCAGGAGATCTAAAACCACGGCGATCATGTGAGCCTGACTGTAAAGCCAGGGAGCAGATAAATTTCATTTCTGGAAACCCCTTTGTGGAAGTTACTAAGGGTATTCTTCATCTATACAAAGAGGAGTAAGTGACATGCATTAAGAAAATTGATAAGATTAATTTTATTTTAATCTCAGTTTAAATGCTAAATGTACATTAGGACATAACTTGAATACTCAGTAGTTGTAGCCTAGGAAGATGGCTGCTTTCACAGTAACACATTTAGTTGTGAAATAAAAACAAGTGTTTAAAGTGGAAATTATTCAAAACTTCTCTCAGAAATTACAAATTAAAATTATCATAGAAAATTCAGAATTTCAAATTTTTAGACTTCATTATAAGATAATTTCTTCAACCAAAAATAACTCTATCGAGCAGAGTCCTTGAGATGCTAATAGTTTGCTCAGATGGTAAAAGAACCCAATATCAGGTTTTGCACTTGGCAGTTTTGAAACTTTAGGTTACATTAGCTGAGGATTAGATGCTTGGGATTATGTCAGTCACTGAGATGAGCGTCCTGTTACAGGGACAGCATTTGTGCTAACATGGTTTCTCAGAGTATTGCTTTGACTCTGGATTTTCTTTTGTTAAATAATATATGCAATGAGTAACATAATACTGAACTGGTATAGCTGTTAGTAAGGTAACTAATTATGAACAGCATAGCTGGGGACATAAGTGACTTAACTCCTGATTTCATTCCATCTCCTATTGAACTATTAGTTCTTTTCCTACGGACGAAGTGTTCAGACCATTAAGCTTACGACTCACCACCATCTAATGCCAAGACCTAGGAGCTTTATCATGATATCCTGTACACATTTTCATGGTCAATGTAGATTTATGGACACACACATATATATGGTGATATAAGTCTGTTTCTTTTTGGTAAAACACGTTTAGTATAGACTAAAGATGGTAAAAATTATGGTGTAATTTCTGGAATTAAGCTTTGACTTTTATTATGTTGCAGCGACCTAACACCAATGGACAGAGCAGCCCAAAGAAGCCAGACTGTGTGTATCTTGGCAGTTCCAGCAACTATGACTTGTCACGACCTTCTTACTTTCACTGCTGCATGCCACGGTGACATACAGCACCTTCGTATCATCAGGGATGGGTCGCCAAACCGTTACATGGCTTTGCTCACATTCCGCAGTCAGGTGCATTGTAACAGTTCATATTCTTTAATTTAGATTGTTACTGTCGAAAATAAACATTGAAAAAATTGTTTTTAGGGAACAAAACAAGTAACATTTTATTAGTAGGTCATATCCAGGTATCAGCTTAGGCTGGGGCCACACGACTGTACAAAGTATGTCCGTTGTAACGCACATCGTGACGTCCGTCATAGAATTATGATTTGTAAGTACAGACAATACAATTACTTTTTTTTTCTAAATCTTTTCAAGCTGCCACGGTAATTGGCGCTCGTGTGGTGTCCTCACCTACGTCCGTACAAAAGTATGTCCATTTTGAAAAAAACATCTTTACCCTTGGTCTTGTTCTTTGTTTTCCTTGTACCCATAAGCTTGTGGTGTAGGCAAAACAGACGTTTTGGTCCTGGGTACAATTCAGTCGTGGACAAACCCGCTGGCATAGAGATGTTCAATAATGTTCATTGTCAAATTCAGTTAATGTACAGGGTGACTGAGAAGTCATGCAACACATTCCTGATACATGTTCTGTTTGTCAAAGAATAAATTACATTGAAATCAAAAAACAAAAGCAATGTTTTGTTAAGTGTTGGAAATGTCTGCCATGTCTAGCAAATGCATCTGTTCACTATTTTTCTCATGTTTGATGCAACCCATTGAAGATTCCTTGCATTGACAGAAATGGTTCACCAATTGAAATATTGTCGATTTTTTTCGCGCGGGAGAATAGGAAATGTATCCCTAAACTTATTCTGGCAAGTTAAGTAATAATGGGATGCCAGGAAGTTTTCAACAGTGGACAATTTTTGCACTTCAGTTGTTGAAAGACAACTGACAGACTGGTGTGAACAGGTTACATCATGACGTGACTTGCATCAGCTCTTGTATAGTTACAGTGATATTGTATGTTTATTAATCAAGTCTAATTGTATTGAATTGCAAACAAAAATAAATATTTTAATATGGGTTGCATGACTTTTCAATTATTGTATATTGGTTGGATTAAGACCTTTTAATGAATCTGTACACCAGTGGTCCCCAACGCGGCGCCCGCCAAGGCTTTTCTTGGGTGCCCGCATTGTTACGGAAAGAGATGTTACTTAATAATGAAGGTCGTTCAACCATGAACATTATAAAATCAAAGCACAGATCTCGACTTGACGATTGTTTGCGAGCAGCAACATCATCCTACGCTCCCAAATTTGAAGAACAGGCCGATGAAATGCAGTGCCAAATATCACACTAACTTCCGAGTAATAATAATTGTACTTATAAAACTACGTATTTTTGATTGTATGGTTTCTTGTATCATTAGACGTCATGTTGTTTTGTGTATTATTTGGAGTCCATATCTTATTTGTCCAGAGAAAATAAAATTTGGCTTTGTTAATTGGTTGGTGCCTGCCACGATCTCATAAACTCTCAAATGTGCCGTAGGCACAAAAAGTTGGGGACCACTGGTGTACACAGTATTTTTATATTATATTTTAAAGCACTGAGAATCTTTATTATTTTATTCTTTGTAGCAATCAGCATCTGAGTTCTATTCCACTTTCAATGGGGCTCCTTATAACTCCCTTGAACCAGATTGCTGCTGCCATCTGGTATTTGTGTCGCATGTGGAACTTCTTCGTGAAGGAGAGGGAGGATCAGTTGCCCCGCTGGCTCATACAGAACTTCCTACATGTCCTGTGTGTTTGGAACGCATGGACGAGTCTGTCGATGGGATTTTGACTATCTTGTGTAATCACTCATTCCATAGCAGCTGTCTCGCAAAGTGGGGAGATATAAGGTAATCATTTTACAAGATTAATTTAAATAATTCTGCTATATCTTTGTACAAAATAAACTTCTTTAATTTAAGTGCTTTCAGCCCAAAACTTGCAACTTCCAATTAAATTCAAACTTTGTGATTTTCACCTAAAGGCTGCACATTGGAATTGATGATGTTGGTATAAGCATTTTACTGATACTGTACTGTATACTAAAAACTAGTTCTAACATTGGAAGAAATGTAGTTTTTGTTACAGATATTTTAATTTCTATAAATTATAATTCCGGTGGTCCGCAGTGGCCGCGCAGACTGAGGCGTGAGCCTTGTGCTGCTTGGTTGCTGGGACCGTGGGTTTGAATCCCACTCAAGCCATGGATGTTTGTTCGTGTTCGTGTTTTTCTGTGTTGTGCTGTCCTGTGTACAGGTAGAGACCTTGCGACGGGCCGATCCCTCATCCAAGGAGTCCTACCGAATGTCCATAGATCAAGCCAATTAAAAAAAGTTGGGGATCCGTAAAAGGGTACCAGAAAATGTATAAAAAATTGTTAAACCAGAAATAGAAGAAATTATAATTCCAAATTTGACTTGAATGACTGGTTTTAATCAAAGTTCATGCCATGTTATTGTTTATGATAATATAAGTCAATTTTTCTCTGTTTGAGAGAGTCCTTATACATCATGGAAACAAAGTTTTGCATTGTGTCCAGATCTTTTACAGGGCTATCATTCACATCTGTACATCTTGTGACAGAATGCAGTTAGGGTTTCTTACTATATTCAGTTTTACTATATTCAGTGATAGGAAATTTTAATATGGACAAATGTTAAAGATTTATTCTTCTGTAATTAAATTCAGTTTTCACTTTACTTTCAAGATTGCTTATATTTGGCTAAACCAGCCTTGCCACTTTTGAGATTATGGAATGTGTTCAAAAGGGGACGAGACTGAGATTCGTGTTTTGTCAGCATTCTAGTTGATTTATGGGCAAAAGCATCATAATTTAATTTTACCCCAGAATTGCTCAAAATGGAATCCTGTATATGATAAACATAAAATTAAGATATAATTTTGTTACCAGCAACTAATCTTTTTATTTTTGAAAGATTGTAATGAAATAAGTATAGATAAATGTTCCTTTTATAAAATAAGTGTTTATTACTAAAATAAAGTTATATAATGGTACTACAAATGGAGTAACAAGTTGCATGTTAAATGAGCCCTTGTCACCACGAGACAGTGTGATGTCAGCCTAAAGCTGCATATATACTCCATGTTGTTTATAGCATAAAGTGGGAAAATATAATAGAATAATTAAAACAGTCAATACTTTTTCATATTGAGATATGACGTCTGTTTTAGTTGTCCGGTGTGTCGTTATATCCAAACTCCAGAAGTGGTTGCTGATAACCGCTGTTTTGAATGCCATTCTGCTGATTCACTGTGGATTTGCCTCATATGTGGACACGTTGGCTGTGGCCGTTACGTGCAAGGCCACGCATATGAGTAAGTAACTCGGTTTGTTTGTAATAATCTTTAACGTTTATCTTACTAGCGTTCCTTGTCTGGGACATAAGTTGTGTACTCAGCCCTATGAACGTTCCTTGTGCGGAACTCAAAACTTACAACACTGTAAGTAGACTTGGCTACGTCTTTTGGCCTCTTTTAGGGGCTGCAAATATTGAATCACTTTCTCTAGGGTTCTGACAAGTTCAACATGAGCTGTCAACCCGGGAACTATAACCATAAACAGCAATAAACATTGTTATTGTCAAGTGGGTCGTTTTCAGACCCCCAAATCAAAGCTACTCACATTCCTCCGCATGATCTGTGGAAAGAATGTGTATCCAATGAAGTAGGGGAAACAAATTTTTCTGTGTGGTCATTAGTTCACAACCATGACTTCTACCATGTCGAATGAGCTTCCAAAGAAGAAAGTAATGTTACTAAGGCCTATATAGGCAATTAAGATATTAACTGCATTTTTAAAAAACTCTATGTATTCTCTGTTCTATTCGAATAAATATGACTTTCATTTCGTCAATTTATCATGTTTACTTTAGGTAATATTAAAGTTTTCCGTAGAGCGTGCACAAAAGTTTAAAAATCTGCAAAAAAACTCCGTAGGGCTGCTACCACTTTGCCATTTAAATCCCCGTCATTTAAAGGTTAAATGTTGGCATCCATAGTTGTCAATGAAAAAGTGAACTCAAGCAAATGCACAGAATCTTTCATGATTTTAATCCGTAACAATATTTATAAGTATAGAATGTCCGAAAAAGATGTATACACACATTCATGAATGAAATAAAAACATTTTAATAAACTAAACCATTACATGCGTCTCCATTGGCACTTGGTGAATTAGGAAATCTAGTGTAGGTATTCAGATTGACTACTGTTAGCTTTGTATCACAGTTAACATCAGTGAGCAACTGAATGACAAGTAGCCACCAAAGTTGTTGCTGTGTATACATCTTTTGGGATACCTGGAGCCTGCATAAACAACCAAGTCAGTAAAAAGATTGGCCATGAGTCGAACGACTAACAAACTTATGGATCTACCCAGATTCCTGTCCCAGTGATGCATAGCCTTTTTAACCCACAACCTCGTATTGCATCAACCTCTTCAGCCGACTCCAGCTTATTTATCTTTTGTTTTGTTTTACCACATCTTACTAAAATGACCACCATTTTTTATTCTTCTATACATCTCTGTTGAAATTGAAGTTTACTTACATAAAATGTGTAATTATTTTTGATTTTATTGATTATTTGTACGTATTTTGTTTGATCTTTCAATTCTATTTATAGATATGCCCGTCTTGAATGTTATGGAAGCCAGCTGAACTTAATCTTTGCAATTATAACACCTTGAAAACAGTACTACGGAAGTTTAATAGGGATGACCTCACTTCCATTGATTGATGATTAGTACGAGATAATAAGGTTTTTGAGCAGTGTAGAAAAATATTGTTTTTACTTGGACTCATATATAAGAATTCTATTCTTTAAAATCATCACATTTGAAGTTTGTGTTAGTTTTTCTAAAATGTTCATAACATTTTTATAGAAAAAGTAAATGCTCTGGGATATTTTTAGAATAAGTATTCACTGGTTAAATGCAGTACAATCAATCACTGGAATAGTATTGTGAAAATTCCACTAGCTGATACTGTAGTAAATTAAAAATGCCACTGAAGAGGATGATGTTTGTGGGTTGAAACATGTCAGTTTTTGCAACAAATATAATGTGAAATTCTGTTGTAAATTCTGTTAATTATATGAGTAATTTATATAATTTGCTGGCAGGCATTACCATGAGACACAGCATTGTTACTCAATGCAGTTGGGGAATAATCGTGTCTGGGATTATGTTGGAGATAACTTCGTACACCGCTTGCTTCAGAACAAAGGAGATGGAAAACTTGTTGAAGGCAGCCCTCCAGGAAAACAGCAGGTAGAATGTGATGCAATCTTGACAGATGTTTAAAGCAGTGGTCCCCAACGCGGCGCCAAGGCTTTTTTTGGGTACCCGCATTGTTACGGAAAGAGGTTATACTGAATGATAAAGGCCGTTCAACCATGAACATTATAAAATCAAAGCACAGATCTCGACTTACTGACGCCCATCTTGACGATTGTTTGCGAGCAGCATCATCATCCTACACTCCCAAATTTGAAAAACTGGCCGATGAAATGCAAGCGCCAAACATCACACTAACTTCCCACTTGAGTAATAATAATTGCACTTATAAAACTATGTATTTTTGATTGCATGGTTTCTTGTATCATTAAACGTCGTGTTGTTTTGCATATTATTTGGTGTCCATATCTTATTTGTCCAGAGAAAAGAAAATTTGGCTTTGTTAATTGGTTGGTGCCCCCCCCACGATCTCATAAACTCTCGAATGTGCCCGTAGGCACAAAAAGGTTGGGGACCACTGGTTTAAAGCTTAGTTTCCTCACTTTCACTGAAATGAGAAAGATATTTAGTAGTGATAGTGTTGTATGGAAAACAGCATGCCTCTGCTAGTTGATATTTCCCCTTTTAATGATTTACTTTTGAATGTGTGTCATACATTCATGTTCCCTCTCAGATTAGCTGTAATAGAAGATACTAGCATCTGTACAAATTTGGCATCAAAAATTGAAAGTACCAGCATAGTAGTGGGATTAATCTTCTAAGTTATGTTTTCACAATAATTTATATACTGCGTAAAAAATGTGTACTACAGCTAAACTGTAGTGTGTATGTAAAGTTGTTTTCTTTATGAAGTCTTGCTTATTATGATATTTTAGATCAATGTCTCAAAAATGACACATTTTGTGAATAAAATATATGCGACAAATATTCTCTGTAGAGGCCACAATTTTCGTTTGAAATATATTTAACATCCCTCAGTATTTGTTAAAATATATTGAAAAAGGTAATTCAGGCCTTGATGTGAAGTGATAATCCATGTTATCTAGTTTGGAACAAAATTCAGTTTATTTGGTGTATTTTAGTAAAGATCAAGTTTCATCCAGAGGGGAATTTTTATATGAATGAAGAGATATATGATGCACAGTGTTGCAGAGTGTTTTTAGAAATTTGGAAATTCTGTATTTTAATAGTCCTATTCTTATGGGATAAGTTCAAAAATTTAATGTGTGTTCTCTTAATGTTTAATTTCTTAGATGTTCACGAGTGGAAGTAAAGTGTTGTCAATTTATTAGTTCCATGATATTGTAATTAATGTTTTTTTTATTATTTTTAAGGGCTTTGTTTTTGACACATTTTAGTGTGATGAAGAGAAAATGGACTCTGTACAGCTGGAGTTCACATACCTACTGACATCTCAGTTGGACTCTCAAAGATTGTATTTTGAGGACAAGCTGCTGAAAGTGGAGCAGCAAACACTTGTTGAGGTACCCCTACCCTATATTTATTATTCATTCTTCTAACGTCAAAGTGCTTGGTTCATGCATTGTATTTTCAGGCAGTGCCTCTGTGACTATTAACACATTGCTGTAGGATTTGAGGTTTTCACAGCAGTGAGTCTGAAGATAGCTGTCTTCTGAGTTGTTGCGCCCTGATGATGGAGGCAGCGAGGACCTCTGAAATGTCTGTAAACTTCTATGAGACTACACCATGAAACAACCCAGAAGATAGCCATCTTCTTAACACATTCACTTCCAACAGTAGAAATTGCCACCCAAGTATTTTCTTTAACAAATTTTATACAGTTTCCTCAAAATGTCTGGGGAGTTAAAGCAAATACCTAGCATATTTTGCTTTGAAGATAAATTTTGGGCACACTTTTGGATTAGGTTGAATAGTATTTGGTCTGGGCTGGATAATATTATAAAATTTCAGCTCATGCAGTCTCTAACCTAGGGTCAGAGAGGTCATAATCATAGGCCTCACTTGGGGTCATTAACTATCAGCTAACCAACTTTGGAACGAAGTTTTGACCCATGGATCTAAATGTGTGAAGTGGAAGAGAGGTATATTTCTTATTGGACGGAGACTCCATTTAGTAAGAAAATACAATATTTTATTTGTATGAAGTTTGTTTTCTGAGCTTGTTGCATGTTATGGTGACATTTTACAAGTAAGCTGTACTGTTGTATTCTTTTAGGTGGCAGAATTACAAGAGAAAGTGAGTAAAGCAGTGGAAGAAAACCAGAAATTGCAGGGAAAACTTCTGCTCCTTTCCCGTGAAAAACAAGCTACAGATAAAAAGGTAGTCCATAGCGCAAACTATAATATTAATTGTTTGCATTTTACTTCTTACTGGGGGCGAGTGTGACTTACTGTAGTCCAATTAGCTACAAAAATGATATAAATTGATTTTGAAAGACCAACAGAATTGAAAGCCAGTGACATTTACAAATTGTAATCATTTGATTGTGTCATCTGAAGTTATTGTAGTCTCATACTGTTGTACTGCATGTTAGTCATTTAGTAGCATAAACTAATTTAGTTTCTTCTGTTGGCAGTTGCAGCAAGTTATTGGAAAGTTAGCCACGACCCAATCAGAGTTACAGGATGAACGTCAGATGAATCATGCTCTACAGCAAAACCAGTCAGCATGGCAGGCTAAGTTTCAGGCCTTAGAGAAACAGTTTAATGAGTATAAAATTGCCAAAGATGAGGTAAGTGTCATATTTGTGTTTTTGAGTTTGGAAAATTAATGTACATATCTAGGAAAAAGTTTCATGACAACAACTGGGCTTTATGAATATCCTTTACTGGTTTTCACTACATGGAATAGAATACTCAATTATTTGTTATATTTAATATTTTTTATCATTGCCGTTAGGAATTGGCTGATGTTAGAGAGCAACTCAGAGATGTTATGTTCTATTTGGAGGCCCAGAAGCAAATATCTGAATCTGCTGATAGGGATGAGATTGCGGAAGGCCGCATTGTAATTGGTGAATCAGCGCAGCCATCTTCCAATGCCACAGCAAGTGGAAAAAAGGATCGCAGAAGAAGACATCGCTAAACTACCAAAACAGTAACTATGAATCATCAAAATCCCTTGCTCATTGAATCTGTGTATATACTAACAAGAAAGAATGTGACGCAAGTGACCAACATAGTATCATAAATTTGGAAACATTTTAGGAAAATATATTTGTTTCCAAATGAACTCTTTTGTTGGATCATGACTTGTAAAGAATCCTGAAGCATAATAATGTGAATGTTCTCTATTTATGCAAATATAAGCTGCACATGGCTTTCAAGAAGAAAATCTAATTTGTAAGTCACATAAATGTTTGTAAATTAGTTTTCCCTCAAGTACCAGTTAGATTTAATTTTCTTTTAAGTTTAAAAAAAACATTGGTTGTAGTGATTATGACAACCAACCACACCACTTGCCAGTCTTATAAAAATGCAATTTTTCTTGGAGTAGTCACATAATTGTGCAGGTGATGACACGAAAGACCAAAAGGGGAGAGAGATTGTGCACCATATTCCAGTGTTATTTATCAGAATAAAATTGGTTGTTTTGTCAAAATTATACTTCTGCTTCTCTTTTTTACCCCCATCCAGAGCATAAAGTTTTTGGAATGCAGAGTATGCCTACCGCTCACCCAAATGTTGACGTAGTTCATCCTCACAGATTTTGCACATTGGGTAATGACACTATAGAAGATAGTGAGAGCGAGTGTCAGACAAATTGAAAGGACAGTGTACTCCAAATTCCATTCATGATAATGTTTTTGGAATACTGCATATGTAGCTCGTATGTCCACCACCCGACCCCCAAGAAATTTTAATAGTTCATCTGCATAGTACGCGCAGTAGTCGTATGACCATTAAAACAAGATTGTGTCTTCAGATAGAACATAGTTTTGTGTGCAGGTTATTTTGTGAACTGGCTACCGCAAAATCTAAATAGAAAAAAAATCTTCATCTCTGCATCTCTTTCAGTTTCTGTTCAACTGTTAAAACATTGATGATGACATTACGTTCCAGAGTTGTTTTTACTTTGTTATTTCTTGCAGTTTCATTCATCCATTCTTCATTGTTATTGAAACATCTGCATTGTTTCATTATGTTGAAAACCATAATGCAACACTTCCAGTCAACCATGATACAGACTGATTATTTAAGCTGTCCCACTATACGCTATGTAGGCACTTGGGGGGAGAGGTGGTATAGCTTCTACTCATTCTTCATCTCAGCACTAGATGGGGGTGAGTGGTCAGCATCGCACCACTGCCACGCTTTACCCCCAGGAAAGGACTCCGGTACCATTTTATAGGAGGCTGGGTGGGCCCCAGAGGTTAGAGGAAAAAATCTCTGCCCCCATCGGGGATCGAACCCTGGTCATCCAGTCCATAGCCGGTCACTGTACTGACTGGGATTTCACCATTAAAAGAAATTCCGAATACAATCCGCACCCTTGTTTTGAGGGCTGCAAATTTTAAAAAAAAATTCAGCTTGTTTTTGTGTAAATATACTACTTCAATAACTGCTTTCATTTCCTAACAGGAAAACTTCATGTTGTGAGTGAAATATTCTTTATCCTCAGTCTCTCAGGACGTTATTGTTTGCCGTTATCTCGCCTTATCAAAATTACACAAATCCTCTGCCTAATGCAGAAGGAAATTACATCTGTTATGATTATTGAAACATTATAGTTATTTTCACCCCAAGCATGTCTGTCATGCTCAACCATATGTGGCGGTGGGGGGGGATTACGTCAAAAGCATTTTCTTTCAAACATTCTCGTGAACCATACAAGATACATTGCACATCAGATACCAGGCAGAAATAACCAGTCCCCACTTCAGTTCTTTTGAAATGGTACTTACCATGTTTGTGTATTTTTTTAATTTAAAGTACTTGTTTATGGGAACAAACATTAATTGGAAGCTGCATACTTTCTCAGATCTAAACAAAATACATTTGTCATTCAAACTTTAAGAAGACTCTTCAGTTCAGTAAGTAATGCAAAATATAATGGTTCTTAAATTTTATTTTTCCAGTACCATTTGTTATCGGACATCATATGATGGTTGACAATTCAGTAGAGCAGTGTTTCCTAACCAGTAGTCTGTCATAATGTGTGCCCAATTAGAAATTCAAGATTGCTATATGTTATTTATATATATTATCATAGCTGAAAGATTACTATCTGAGAACAAGCAACTTTTTTATTTTTCATTCCCTTTTATGTACTTATTTTATGTTGAACGTGTTTACATTTTTTCATCCCTTTTGAGGCATTTTATGGTGTCGCCATCCAGATGCTGACGAAGAGGAAGTAGTTTTGGTGTTGTTGAATTCTTTAGAAACAGGAGACAGCTATGTTAAAACCTCCTGGCCTTTGCAAGGCAATTTTCATTATTTCACATACCCTCATAATGAATGTTCATCATGGATGATCAAGACATATCACTGATTGTAAAACCACAAACAGGTGTCCATTTTCATGTTGTAAATTGACATGTTTAAATGTGCTGCTTTAAATTAGATCTGTACACTACTTGTGCTGAGACAGACGAGGTTCCGGTCCTCTGAGAATTGTATTACTGTTTTACTGATCCAAAAAGTCAGAAAAGATTTGGAATCATTGCGGTAGAATATGTCCAACATGCAAGGAACTAAGTAAACTATTAATATTTCAACAAGTTTGTAATTTGTATTCTACTGCACTCTTGTTAAATAAAGGTTTTATATAATGGCCATTTGCCATGTACAACTCAAATTTAAAGTTCCAAATCAAAAATTTCTGTTTCTTTCAGAGAAATAAGTTTTGATAATTCTGCATTAAGATTACAAGTTGGTTTAATTTATAACATTTATATTGGTGTTATGAACTTTGTTTAATTTTGTTAACATCATTGTATATAAGGGCAATGGTTTATCCTTATAATCTCATTTCTCATGATGATCAGAAAATGTAAGGAACAGATGTTTAAGAAATTATATAAACAGCAAAAGGAAACATCTTAATGTAAACATATGATGACAGAAACTTGGTACAAATTTAGTTGATCACAGTAAGATGTACGTGGTCATTATGAAACAAACTGTCTGTTACGTGTTTGGATAACAAAGTTATATATTCAGCTAGGATTTGAAGCCTTCAGGCTGAGAATCAAACCCAGGTCTGCAGAATACTAGTCACTCAACTCGTTAGTTGGTCAGTAAGATTACAAATAAAAAACATTCATATTATGTCTCATAGAAAAAAATTGGACATTGACATAATGAAGGGAATTATAATGAAATGAAAAACAAAAAACAAAGAGGTGAAATTCTGGAGGAACAAAAGATTACTTAAAGAGTTAAAATATTGCAACTGAATTATACATTGGAATTAAAGTGTAACTCAGCATGACATGTTTCCTTATTAAGATATGAAATATTTTAATATTTGTGAAAATTCCATTCAACATGTTCACCTAAGCATTACAGAATAACTTAATCATGCTCTGGCAACACAAATCGCAGATCATGAAAATACTAAACAATACTTGTTCCTGATACCTAACCTGAAAGCTACACTAAATTCAGTATCTGAAAAGCAGCCCTGCTGATGGATCTACTGTTATCAGTAAAATTAAAGGTAAAGTTAACTATTCTTGGTAATGTGGTAATGAAGAGTTAGACATTGTCTTGCACTGAACACCATATATAAAAAATGAAAGAACTTTATTTGTTATCTTTACACAACTCTTCGCACTTCAAAGAAACGTTTAAGATAGTAAACTTGTCCCATTGTCATTGCAACAAGCACCAAGGCTTCAAAGAAGGACCAAAGGACCACTCTAGAGTTAGTACTCTCATTGATGCTTCGATGAATGCGATCTCGAAGTTGCATGTATTCTTGTTCGTGCTTTACTCCAGTTAGTGTTGCTGACAGCTCCTTGATCATTTCTTGAAGCTTGTCATGGTCATCTAATGTGGAAAAAGTCACTATTAATTCAAGAAAACAACTTGCTGAAATTAAAATGTAAATGGCATAACACACAGACTTCGACACTAGATGAAAATGGTCAGTTTAATGCTCCAACTTCCTTCCCTCTCCATAAAGACCTCTGAATATCCACTTTGAGTAGGTAGGTGAGACCTTGAGCTGTTCTGAATAGAAGTAGCAAAGAGAAAGATCTCTCTTCCAACATTTCATTCAGCTCAGTCACATTACTGAACTCTTAAAAATACTATTAAAAATGGACATAACTATGGCAGATAATAGTGTACTATCCTCTTCTATCAGTGTTACACTTCTCACATTCTGCAAAGTATATCAATATGATGTAATTATTTCTAGAAATTTCCCTTGACAAAACACTTCTATATACTGTAATGATTATGTCTTTCTTATAACTGCAGTGTTTCACTACTTTGTATATTTCCTACCATGTCCTTGTGAAGATTCCTTCGGTGACTCGCCAATATCCATGTTAAACATTACAACTTTGGGAGTCATAGTGGACATCTGGTTGCTGAAGCAGTAAGTGTAGACACCAGCCATATGTGCAGCAAATGTATACTTTCCGCTTGTTTCCCTTTCACCCTGGTATATTACCTTACCATCGGGCCCTACTATTTTTACATCTATATCTAAAAATCCACCCTCAGCAATCTCAAACATAAGTCCTGAAATACAGAAAACAATTACAAGACAACTTAATCAAACAGCATACTGGTTAAAATCTCACCATTTACCACTGAGTAAAATTTCTACTACTACAATGTTCATACCCATTTTTGTGCCGGACTCGACTTTATCAAAGAAACATTCCTCGGCATGCGCATCAACAGTTATAAAATATCCATGGCTACATCCAAAATGCGAAATTAGAGATAATAAAACAAAAACGTTTACTTTGAACATTATTAGCAACACTATCACAAATTATTCGCCTGCACTCCTTCCACGTCCAGCGACAAAGATAAATAAGAACGCAGATTGCATTGTATAATGCACACTTTGTTTTTTGTCCATTTGATTCGTACTAGATGCCAACAGATGGCTGATGATTCCAAATGGTGACGTTTCATGAAGACTCAATTGCCAGCAAAAAAGCTTTCATGGACTCTTTTTGACGTGATGTTGGCAGTGACAAATAAAAAGTTCGGAAAAAATATTGCTTTTAATAGAATAAAAAACCTCAGCCGCCAATGGTTGTTAAACCATTGCCGTGACCAGGATTCGAACCTGGGTTATTGCGGCCACAACGCAATGTCCTAACCACTAGACGATCACGGCTATTGTGAGGTACAACTACGTCGCTTCACTTTTTATTAAATATAGAAAGCCATATTTATTTTTTAGCATATGTTTTGATGATTTTCAATGAGATTTATACACAATAAATAAAACAGTCACAAAATCTGAATACTAAATTAGTCGGCACTTCTTACAAGTAAAAATACTCTGAACTTCGATTATGACGTAATTGGCGGAAGAACACAACTTTGTCTTTCCATAGTGGCGAACTATTTTCAGTGTTGGCGGGCGCGGCCATCTTAGTTTTCTGTGTAATAGTGGTCGTCTTGTGCAGTGCGTGTGAAATCCTGATTCATCCGTCATGTCGGAAAGAGAGGATAATGTTTACAAAGCAAAATTGGCGGAGCAAGCTGAAAGATATGATGGTAAGCTTTATATTTTGTATAATATTCATTAGAAGCTGAAATATTTGTGTTAGAAAATAGCCGACTTCCAGTTTGGTGATTCGACGCTGCCACTGACCGTATGACAGCATTAGTGTTAGAATATTTGCTTATTTTCATCGTATTATGAGTTTATTTAGGAAGAATTTAAACGTAGTTATAGCAGTAGTGTGACACTTTGCATTACTTTATAGGTATTATAAATAGTTGCAGTCGTGTTGTAAGGAAATCGAACAGAATCTGATGGCTCGGGCCAGGCCCAAAAGATCGATGCGTCATCAATGTAACTAAAAGGGAATGCTATTTTCCGTTTGTTAACGTGGAAGAGATGCCAGTTGAGTTAAATATGCGTCATTAAGCAGAAATTGACTTGCTTAAAATCTTATACGTACCAGACCTACTGTAAGTTACGTGAATTATGCTGTAATGGTGAACGGTTAATGCATTCCTCACTAGTTATCTGTTCGTATTTTGAAAGAAGTATATTTTTTTAAAATTTGACCTGTATCATACCTAGTAATAGATATACTCAACAAGTTGCAAGTGGGAGTGGCATTACTTATGAAAATATATTAACAATGTTGCCAGATGTAGACCAACTTGGTGTATCATCGTTAAGGCTGTAGTTTATGCGTATAAAATTAATCTCGTAGAACAGCCATGTCAGAACTGTGCCGTATCTGTGTTGACTGTACAGATTTCTTGAGATTAAATTGACATTGGAACATATCTCAGAACTAGTGTGATGGGTAATAAGGATTCATTGGTATTATCTGTTACAAATGTGGAGGAGGGGTGGAAATGTGACATCACATCCTGCCTTGAGTAGCACACAGGCAAGGCTAGGCGCCAGCAAGACTCAGGGCAAACAATTTGTTACCATGGCAACGGGAGTGGGTGGGGATCTCCCTATGCTGACCAAGTATTGATCTGCCAAGCTTGCTGTGCATTGCCCTAGCCTACCCTTGTCTGCCTGTCTGTCTACCTATGGGTTAGAGTGAAAATCACTCCTCTGTACCCGTTATCCCCTTTTCTCTCCCATTTCCAGGCACAAACGCAGAAGCGATTCTGCTACCTGTCTATTGAAACCACAACATAGCATGCATGTGGATTCACAGCGAATGAAAGGGGATGCTTCATGAGGAAAATCAGTATTCGTAACCTTGTTTTAGTTCATTGCTTCAGAATTACTGCTTGAGATGAAATAGGTGGGGGAAATTAGGATTTATTGTAGAAATTGTACATTTCCTTTGAGACGTAGCCTTTCCCCCATCAGAACAATGTAGATAATGTACACAGCAAAAGAACAATAAGAATTATTGTACATAACATTAATAGTATTTTGTTTTTGTCAGTTGTGTATAACATGAAGCTGAATAGCTCAATCAGTAAAATGTCTATGTATGAATGAATAAAAATGACTGTGCACTTGCTGGATGACTGAGATTTGTTTCCCAGCATGGCAGGACTATCACTATCATGTCAGACCTGCCTGATGGAAACCAATGGTTCCATCCTCAAGGTTGAAGCCAATTGACCACAATTCCATCTGATTCAAGGTCTCTGTGCTTGGAGCTTTAGCTCCACATTCTCGATCTGTTTTCTTGGTGTGGTATTTACAAAGCAGAGGTGCCATTGTAGTAACTATAACATTCTGAAGATCAGCATTAAGAATAGAGAAAAAGTGCTGGTTGTCTGTTTATAAATCTGTGATCAGTACTTTTGCCATAAGAGAAAGTAGGGAATACTAGAACTGATGGTCTGTGCGGGTGAAATATTGGGGAAAATTATGTTAATTCTGAGATAGACTAGATTTTCTAAAGCACTGGTGGTCAAAATAATTTTATGTATGACAATGTACTTTATAACAAGTATAATATTTGAACACTTCACAGGTTTGGAGTGTAATTATGTGACTTATTTTCATGGTGACTAGTTTTATAATAAGCATTTTTGCAGCTGGTGAGTAGACATAGTTTATGGAAGGTACCTTCCAAGGTGATTGAGGAACATGATATTTCCCTCCCGTTTTTTGGCCCTATGCTTATGGAGATGTTTAATTTGGCACAGTACCCTACTTAGCAGAATCTCATGATAGTTGCTTAGTTTCAGAAAATTCCTGTACAAATGTCAAAATTATTCAACAAAGGCTGCACAGTCACAAAGGATATGTGAAGCTGTTTCTATTTCATGATAGCACCTTCTACAGGTGAGGTTATTTACTTACCCCAGTTTAAAGAGGTGTTCCCTTAATTGTCACTGTCTTGTAAATAGTCTTGCCACTTGTCTTATTTAGAATCTGTTGAACTTCACTCAAACATTGTCGGTAATACAGATTGTTAGGGTCCAGTTCTTTTCTTTGTGGCACCTCAGTAATCTCAAAGTTCATACATTGTCTGGGAGCAAAAGAAAATTCTGTAACACCAGAGTCAACCATCATCTTTGACTGAGGAAATGGACCACCCTCCAGAATTTTAAATTGGTCATTCCAAGAGCGATCCTGAAACTTAAAGTGCAAGGTAACTGATTCACATTACAAATGAAACCACAAAACATGTTACAGAACAACAGCTAAATATCCATTCATGTTCAGGTGGCATGAAACTGAGACAATACAAGATGCCGATACAAATAAATTTGCCTTCCATATGAACAAATGATGCAACATCTCCCACCCTGGAATTCAGTTTAAAATATTTGTAATGGAACTGTTTGCTGAGCAATGCTTTACTGATGGTGCCAGGCAAATATTTTGGCAGCTGTCCATTTTCTGTAGACTGAGCGTTCCCCCTGCAAATGTTTGAATGTGTCTGCCATTCACGCCTCTGGTATTTAGGGCGTATTTGTGATGAAACAGGACCAGTAGAAGACATTATCAGCAATGGCGGTCTAAGAGGTCCACATGTATCTGCATTTATTTCTCTTCTGAGAAGGGCGGGGACTAGTGAGACATCGGATGGGATGCAGTTCATGCATCGAAGCAAAGAAGAAATTATGTATGAATTATTAATAAACTTTTGTGTTTTATAGAAGATGGGGAATTATTTGATTTACTGAGTAACTATAAGCTTCTGAAGGACTCTGATCCTAGTAGTTGGTTTGTGTCTGAATACTGAAATTTGTACTTTCGTTTGCTTCTGTTGTAGCTTTAACTTACGTGTGTATTAATGGTATATTTTCTGTTTGCCTTGTACAGAAATGGTCGAGGCGATGAAGAAGGTAGCATCGCTGGATGTTGAGCTGACTGTTGAAGAACGTAACCTTCTGTCGGTGGCCTATAAGAATGTGATTGGAGCTCGCCGGGCCAGCTGGAGGATAATCAGCTCCATTGAGCAGAAAGAAGAAAACAAAGGTGCTGAGGAGAAATTGGAGATGATCCGGACATACAGATCACAGGTATTGCACGAAAATAATTGTTTTTATAGTATAATTTATCTTAAACTACTGTGTACAAAACTTAAGAACATAAATAATCTGTGGCGTAACAGCCCTCCGAGAACCAAAGCCGACTAGCTGGCTGCTAGCCTCACATTCACCTGCCTAAGCATAGGTGAACGATCATCCAACCAGATATAGGGTGACGTGTGGTCAGCACGACAAACCCCCGGGCATTGCTAGCATTCCTGACCGGATTACCCTACTCATTGTAGCTCCCCAATTTCCTCACGATGCTGGGTTGGCACCGGTCCCATAAACTGGTCGAAAGCTCGTAAGAATATTTCTTCTCCCCCGAGACCCGAACCAGCGCACATTCAGTATCACCTGTCCAAAACATGATGCCTCAGACCGTGCGGCTATGGCGCGGGACCTTAAGATCATACTTAAGAAAATAAAATACATTGGTCTTTTGTACAAAGATATTTCTCACATGTGTTTGTTACCTTCTTCTGCTAACCTCTTTGTTGTATTGCTTATCTGTTTATTAGAACAAGGATGTTTTTTGGTCTGTTAGTAATGCAGCTGGGGTAGCTCAGTCTGTATAGTGATTGACTACTGTCAGGATGACTGGGATTCGATCCCCAGCAGGGGCAGAGGATTTTTATTCAGTCACCATCTGAACAATTTTTTCATCACAGATGTAAATTTGGTCACAGTGGCTGCACTGCCTGAGGAGTGGGCCTTGTGCCACTTGGTCACTGGGACCGTGGGTTTGAATCCCACTCAAGCCATTAGTAACGTACTGTTAAGTTAATCTTTAAGGAAGATTATCACTGGACATGTATTCCGCACGTCATTAGACAATATCAGAAGATTTACTGAATGTCCATGTAGGACAGATTGTAAATAATCAGGTATGTTCAAATAAAAAATGTATAATTTTAAGAAATTTGTCATATTTGTTCAAGATTGCTGTTTTATACTCCTTTACTAATTTCTGAATGTATGTATTTAGGAAAACGTGTACCGAATGTCATGTAGGGAAGTTGTGGGTTAAAATGTCAATATTGGTGTGTGGTTTTCATAGCCGATTTAGGCAGATGCCAAGGTAATGCCTTAAGTCAGGTCACAACCACGCTCCTCCACATCCTTTCCTATTTATTATTCACTGATCCCAAGAGCTATGCTGGCGGTAGCATAGTTACTGGTAGGGCCTCCCTAGCCAGAACTGTCGAGGGGGAGAGGTCAGACTAAGACAGGTACCCTGGTCCTCCTGGTTGGGGGTTGGTCGCAAGGCTAACAACCTTACCCTGTAAAAAGGAAGATGTTTCGAAACCTCAATCAAAGCCTCGGACAGACGGACCTAACAGAGGACCGAATGGAAGAGGAGAATTGAGGAGGCCATGGACCGAATACAGACTGGAGAGCCGTAGAAGAAGAAGAAGAAGAAGAAGATCATCCTATTATTCAGCACCATGCAATGTATCAGTCTATGGGTACAGCACAAAATGTTGCCAGATTTGGATAGGCAGGGCAGGAAGAACTCTACATTACGCTCTATCCCAGAAACAAATGAAAGTAAGGAAGAGTGTAGTGGAACATGCACTGTTTTACATCTTATTTGAATAGGAATACAATTTAAGGATGGTAGTCAACTTTAGGTTATGTAATGATTGAAGAATTTCCCCACGTTTTCTATATTCTGAATGTGTGAAGGAACAGTGTTCTAAAGTTAGCTTTAGTTTCTGTGGTTACTAGAATGATTTATTATTCCCCTCCCACTTACTGCAGACTAAAGTTAAAGAGAATGTGGATTTGGTAACAAGTATTGTTTAAAAATGGATAAAGTGTTTCTTTTTTATGTTACATTGTGTCGAGTCTGATGAGAAGGGAAAATACTTTGAAGGTTACATATATTACTTTAGACAAATCTTAATTATTATCCTGTTATATCTGAATTCTGTAAGATGAATTGGGTGTTTTAGGCACCATTTTCCACAGATGAAAGTGTGTCACCTGGTCCTAATATTGATATTTATGATCGTATGTGTGTTATACATACAAATCATAACTGTTGCCACGGTAACATTTTTAAAGGATTTTCAACCTGTGGCTTGCAGCGTCCTACATCTGGTTAACAGTTCTGAGTCCACTTTTTTCAGTGTGCATAGTTCTTGACATATAATTTGTCAGACTTGGAAGTTGATTAGTTTTAGAGGTAAAAATGGGAACATAACATGCAATTGGGCATTGGAATGATTTCTATGATTGTGTGAGTGAAGGTATTATTATTGAAGACTTGTATTAATCTGTCAAGAGTGAGTTTCAGTGTCAAAACCAATGTATGTATTAAAATATTTTCTAGTTATTGTGATCTACATAGGTTTATCGCCAGACTTAAAAATTGTATGTTCATGTTTCGAGTATTTGCAGCAGCTATGATTTTGAGGTATCTTAATTTTTTGTCTTTACAGGTAGAGAAGGAGTTGCGTGATATTTGCTCTGACATCTTAGGTGTTTTGGATAAACATCTCATTCCATGCGCTTCAACTGGTGAATCTAAAGTATTCTACTACAAAATGTAAGATTTGTTTCCAGTTATGTTACTGATTGAACAGTGTCAAGTGTTATGAATATTTTGCATTTTGGTCCCTTCAGCAGCAACTTCACTGTAGTGCTAGAACACACTGTAATTTTTGTGTATTTAGTTTTGGTATTCTTTGAACAAAGAATATGTTATGGGCCTGCTCATGTCTGCCTTGCGGGTTTCCGATGAATAACCTGCTTGGCTTCTTCAGTGGTTGAAGATAACTCAGGAGGCTGCATTCCAAGGGCCAGGTAGATCATCCAGGCATCTGGAGGACCATTTTTTTTGGGGGGGGGGGGGGGGGGGGGGCCTTAGTCCATCTCTGTGGCTCCAACTCCCAGGAATCCCACCCTCCAGCATGGATTATACATTTTCAATGTTCCATATAATGTTTTTTTAATGTGTTATAGTTCATTCAGGTCTGGTACTTATTTTAGGAAGGGTGATTACCACCGATACTTGGCAGAATTTGCCACAGGCAATGACAGGAAAGAAGCCGCTGAAAATTCATTGGTTGCATACAAAGCAGCAAGTGACATTGCCATGACAGAACTACCACCTACACACCCAATTAGGTAAGCAGAATATTTGTGTGGTTGCCCGTTTCCTTCAGTCGAAGACCATAAATCATAGAGGGTCAGAAAATGCAGTTACTTTTTTCAGATAACTGGTGTAGCTGAAGATAGCTGTGTTCTTGGATGTTGTGCCTCGTGGTCTGGTAGAAGTTTACTGACGTCTCGGCTCTGAAATGCCATCTACCAGACTGCATGGTGCAATATCCCATAAGACGGCCATCTTCATACTCTCCACTTTGAGAACCAGAAATTTTAACTAGTAAAGTTGTTTCACGTCCAGAGTACAAAAAAATGATCAGCAGTTGGGACATGGGATTGAAAGCGTCAGTTATTTTATTTTGAAACAAATTCAACAGTATTATTAGCAGTACTGTTAAGTTTCAGATCCCCATTGGTTTTAATTATGGCTTAAGTTTTTTGTTTGTAGATTTATTGAGTGCACACCTTGACCTTTTTGTGCTAATGATTAATTTATATTTTCCTTCAGGTTGGGTCTTGCACTCAATTTCTCAGTGTTCTACTACGAGATATTGAATTCGCCAGACCGAGCATGCCGACTGGCCAAAGCAGCATTTGATGATGCTATTGCAGAGCTAGATACTTTGAGCGAGGAGAGCTACAAAGACTCCACACTTATCATGCAGCTCCTTCGTGACAACCTCACACTCTGGACATCTGACATGCAGGGAGATGGTACGAATGAGGACCAGACTGGCCAACAAGCTGTCACTGCTACCTAACCATTCCACATCCCATACTCTTCTAAGATACCTTTTATTCTAAGTTAGAGTTGAAGATAAAATAATTGTAAATTATACAGTGGAATCCTCATTTATTATTTGACTTAATGCAAAATTTATACAGCCCTAATCCAATCATGTCATTGTTGAATGTCATTTATATAATGTGTATCATTCAATCCTCTATAAAGTAAATCTTACCTGCGTATGTGGTATGCCTGGTTGTTATCTCTCCTGAAATGGTTTATTCAGTGACTGATATGTAAATGTCTTAAAGGCAGCCATTTCATTTTAGAAATTTGGTGTTTTTGTTTAAAACCCAATATCTTGGTAATTTTTCATGAATTATGAAATGGACACTGTGGGAGACCATTTTATCACAATTCATATGTACATATTTTTTGAATATATAGCTTTTTAATAAAAGTTTATTTAGCTTTTTGAAACATTCAGTTTAGTTTTTAGTTTATTCTAAATTACTACATCACTGGCACAGGTTTCAGTTGAAATAAAGCTGTCATTGATGTATTTATGATTTGTGCGATTGTACATTATGTAATCCTAACTAGGTCTTGGCATTTGAAATAAAACGTGATAGAACACCCAAGACGTATCTGACGGAACACCTAATAAACACATTACAGATGTTTCACAATGACCTGCTTGACTTAATGATAATGGGTGGTTTGGTGATACCATGTGAGTGTATTGTAGTCAACTTTTCTTTGTGCAAAACATTGTTTGGCTTAAGTAGAGTATGTTTGGTGATACTTGTCTCAGTGCATTGATCCATTTTGTAGTACATTATACAGCATTGACATGAATTTTGCTTTGCAGCTGCAATATAGTGCATCTGTTCTTTTTGGTGAGGCAATTGTAAGAACTGCTGGCAGTTTCCTGGAATATATGTATTTTCCTCTTTGAAAATAACAATTCTTAATTTTTGTGTGGATTTTTTGGGGTTTGTGAAGAAACACGAAAGAATGCTACTGTGATATTAAATGTTCATGCCTATCATTGACTAGCCATATTTTCAGTTGTGCATGACTATAGTCATTGGATTTGAAGAGGGCCTCATTGGTACTAGCTCTAGCTGTGCGGTCAAGGCTCTGAAGTGCAGGGATGCAGAATGGACCCAGCAGTAGTCTGCCCGGAACAACTGAATTTTTCATCTTTAGTTTAGTACCAGTGAAATGCGTAATTTTCTCTCTCTTCGTGTCATTTCACAGTGGACTCTAGATTTGGTTTAGATTAGTTTTATTCTCTAAAAATTGTTCAAAATACTGAATTATTTCTTTTGTTGCTAGTTGAGCAGTTTGAATGTAATAGTTTAAAATATTCACTGAGTTCCTGAGATATTCTTAATCAATATGCTGGCAGGCGTGCCACTAATTGGAGTCGCGGTTTCCCAGTATCTAACTTATGTCAGTGTACCATGCTTCATTTACCGTCATCACTATTGTAGTCAGATTTGACACTTTATTGGCTATTTGGTTAAATATTCGTATTGTGTCACTATCACATCTATGTTACTCGAAGTATTACCTCACTTTATTTTGAGCTAATTCCATTCTATTGGCTAACAAAGACTCGAAACGCCAGACTGCTTTGAGCCGTTAATCTTATTTTGAGAACTTGAAGGTGAAATAAACGTGCTATCTATGTCTGTTGCAACAGAGTTGTAGAAAAAGTAGCATGGGTATCAGCACATCATACGCACTTGACTGGTTAAATGGGAATTTTACTATGCTTGAAGTATTAAAATTGTTATAAATGCTGAAGTAGTGCTCAGTTGAGAGCAAGTTCTACTAAGATCTTTTACTTAAGTTTTGCTTCCCTTCATTTACAGGAGAAACAGAGCAAAAGGAACAACTGCAAGATGTGGAAGACCAAGATGTGTCGTAACTCTCTGCCGTTTAACAATCGTAACAACGTAACGTCATAACTACACCCACGTAACGTCGTCGTAAACAAACAAGCAACAACGTAAAACTTGAAAAGAAAACATCTTCATCTTGTTTTTTTCGGTGGCTGAAAACCGTTCGCGTGAAATCTACCACAAACCGACGGACGGACTGATGGCTTAGTGAACATGGACACAAACCACAGCATTATATTAAAATAAATAAAATATTGCAAATGTTCCGTGGGGGGAGGTTTCTGTAATACGACTGCTTGCTCGATTGTTTGGGGCTGAGGGGGGGATTCAAAAACATCACTGCTATTATTAATTTCACAACTTTTTATTAAAATGACAAATACACTTACTAAATTGCCAAGTTCTTTTCTGTGTCCACATGCCAGCATTTCAATTTTTAAATGTAAAGTTGGAGTTGGCTAATGTATCACTATGTTGCAGCAGTATTAACAAATCATAAAACTTCTCTTCGAGTGTGCGTGGGGTTAAGAAAAGTGAAATATTTTCCACTTATTAGTAAAGACATTCTTTCTGAGACTGACACCTTCTCAGATAAGTAGGTCATTGTGTTGTATGTTTTGGCACCACTGCAATTTTTTACATAATTCCTAGCAATCATTCCAGTAAATGAGCAAGTTGTTAAACAATTTATTTTTCTCTATCAGAAACGTATTATTGTGAGTATTATATGCTGATAATGGCCTCCCTTCACCATTTTAAAATGTCCCCAATTCTTAGTGAATTACTGTGGGTTGAGTGTAATAATTTATTGGTACTTAACGGAACCAACGCATCCTCTAGTTGACGTTATTTCCTTGGGAATGTCTGTAGTAGTATTGGTAGAGAAATCCATTTCTTTCCCTCCCTCATCCCCCCATTATGCAGCTCAGCTTTGGAGTTGATACCTCAGCTTAGTTTTTGTTTCCTGATTCTTTGAAATTGTGTTGTTAAATTGTGCTATGCAAATTTCTTACTTGATAGCAATACTGAAAGCAAAACCAAGTCCTTTGCTAAAGAACTAACATATTCTGTTAGTGCAGGATATTTTTGTAGGCTAAAGAAAAGAAAAAAGTTTGAGCAAACTATTTTCTTGTATTGTAAAGTTTTCTGTGTTTGATACTTCTGTTCTTTTCTTAAGAGAAGCTTAGTGACAGCCATGTCCTTCCTTGTGTTATGATTTAGATCTCATTGTTGTCCATGGATTTTTAACCAGTTTACTATAAGCAGAATTTTTTTACAGTAATTGCTGTTTTGTTTCATTTTCTATATAATTTGCAAAAGAAGATTGTGCATGTGCTGCTGAATAAAATTTAAGTGTCACTACTGACTTGGTTTCTAGAAGTTTTTGGTTAAAAATCCATGGAATATGCCCAGGACATCATTAGCAGGGAAAGATTCCCGAGTGTTTTGAGTGGATTCATCATAGGAAGTGAGAAGGGGTACAAAGTCTGGTTCCTTGACTGCTACCCACTTTTCTCTTGGGCAGTCTTCTAGGATGAGTTGTGAACCCATAATCATACAGTGAAGATATCTTTATACTCCACTGGTTGTAGACTTTCCTACATGACTGACCACTAATGGATGTGGCATATGTATCCCCCCCACAATTAAAGTTTGGCTTGCAATTTGAAATTGCTGCATCTCCCAGGTACAATGGTAAGGTGTAATTTTAATTCTATTGCTGTAAGAAAATGTGTACATTACTTTGGAAGTTTGTTGGACATATTTTCATGTTCCCCCCTTTTTTTAGGTGTCAGTGAAAGTGGTTATTTTGTAAATCTGAAGACGGCAAGTGACAGCATTTATGTAATGGTTATATTTAAAAGTAAACATTAAAACTTCCCCAGTCTTAGCTTTAAATTGAACACTTCACCACAATCCATGTTTTCTGGCCTGCTTCAACATTCAATGTGCTACCAAACACTAACCAGATAATTATTTCTGAATATTGTGGAGGCTTGTACTATTGTAGACAAGAAAAAAAAATCGACCTTTATGTAAGCTTCAAGTGTTTTTTAATCATGCACCCTATATGAATATCCCTGAATGAGTTTATTGGCATGCAGAGAATGGGTGAGATTAACTTCCAATAGTTGGAAAAGTATAGGTATGGGGATCTGGTAAGTTGTGGAAGCAACACACTAGATATCAGAAAGGAGGGACCGTGATGTCATTTGTATGGGGGGCAGGGGGTACGCTAATTGAAAATGCTTGTAAGAAATGCGCTACGGAACAAAAAAATGAATACAATTATTAAACTAATATTGTACGCGCAGTGTAAAGCTGGTGCAAGTGGACACGACGGCACGAAGTTGGCGGAAGAATACATTTGTGCTATGATTAGATTCACAAGGGTTGGAAGCTTTAATTCCTTCGAAATTAGATTTTGACGAACCTGATAAATTGTTTTATTTATGACTATATTTTGCGTGTGAGAGATTTATAGTCAGTGTAATGTCTGGGTTTATTGGAACTACTTCTCACGTGACCATGTTTACTAAAATGGCAGAATCTTGTTTTCTGTCGTAGAGGCTGTTTGTGAAATAATGTTCGTATTCGAAGAAACTGTTGGAAATATGACAAATTGATGGCGATTTTAAATCGGATATCTAAGGAGTTATACGGTTGTCGCCAGAAGTTCTTCATGGGGGAAAAGTTCTCTCTGAGGTAAGTTAATTATTTCATAGCTGAACCGTAAAAGAACTTTCTCATGATTAAAATGAGAACAAAGATGTGACACGCCTGAATCTGATAATAGTTGTGTTGTAGTGTTTGTGTGTACAAGAACTGTGTCATGTTAGCACTAAGAAGTCAGTGATCCGTGCTTCATTAGAGATTCGATGTTGCTGCAATATGTGGTGAAGTTGCAGATTGTGCCAATGAATTCATTACCTGTAGGTTCGTCGGGCAATATTGCCATTTGAATATGACATCTGTTCATTGTTGGTGTTGACCCCTGCTTATTGCAGGTGCTAGCGACGCCAGGCGCCGTCCTTGCAATGGCCACACCAGTGGATTACCAGTGGTAAGTGCATTAACTTTATAGGTTAGACACTATAAGATATACCCAGGATTTAACGTTTCACATCAGAGCAGAAACAAAAACGTTTTGTGTTTATAATGCAAAGCATGTATAGATGTAACAGAGAGAGCAAGAAATATGGAACCAGATAATATAATGAGTAATATTTTATAAAGCCAGAGGGAGGTTAAGTTTTAAATTTTTTGAGTCCACAGCATTGAAAATCAGCTTTTATGTTGCTTTCTTTAGGGCTTACTCCATCATGGATTCTTCACGGGTCTCTACATTTCTCATCTCCATTCTGCTTATTGTGTATGGCAGCTTCAGGTAAGTTAATTTTTTAGTGAATTTTGGAGGAATTTAGAAATTGTCATAGACCATATTTTTATATTACTGCCCATGACCTTTTCTTCTTTTGTTGTAAGTGGTCTCATAATAATGGTGCACAAAATGTTACTCTATAGGGTGTTTAGTACATGTTCTGTGTATGTATGTAAATGGTGAAAGTCAATATATATGTTAATCAGCAGCAGAACCAAACTTTTAAGGACATTAGAAAGTATTGCAGTTGGGTGAAAGTCTTTCTCATATGCAGGTAAGGCTTGTTTTGTTTTGTTTTACATCTACTGTCAAAAGCAAGTTGTTTTATTGTGAAGGAAGCAGAAAGAACCAGAAAGGAAGCTTTAATCATGAACAGAAATACTTTGCATTTGTGGACCTAGTTGTAGAAATATATAAAACTGATTGGCACAATTTCCTGCCAAGTAGGCAGACTGTGTTGGTTCATAGCTTTGGAATATCATGACATTTGATATGTTTTTGTAGGAGAGAAATATATTTGTTATCTTAAAAAACTTACTAATGTGAATCCTTTTCAGATATGAAATAATGTTATTTAGAAGTACATATGTTGTGAAAACTTAGACTGGTTAATGCAGTTTGAAGAAATAATTGCTGTTTACGCCAAGAATCCAATGAAACTTGTAAATATAAAATATGTAGTTATTAATTGATGAAGTAGATTTGTACATATATTTACCATTGGACTTCAAAAGGTTTGAAAGTTTGAAGAGAATTTATAAGGTGGCATCCAATGATTTTAATGGCTAGATATTTAGTTGGGTATAGATTACCAGATATTGATTGTATTATGGTAGATTAGACCTAAGGAAGGGATAAAACATGTGAGATTTACAACCTGATTTCTTGTATTTGGGATTATTAAGAATTATGATATCATTGGATAGAAGCTTTATTATACCCAATTCTAAAATGGGTGATAATCAACTTAATTCAGAATATTACCCTACCTTCTCTGAAATAGCTGATCGTCATTCATCTAGTAAAATTCATTTTGTTTTATCAGACTCAAAGATTCATAACAGTGTTTACAAGAGCCTGCCACTGGACCTTAATCTCACACTCTATAGCTTTAAGATTTAATATTATCCTTCTCTCTATTCCTATGTGTACAGCCTACTTTGTTTTTTTTTTTGTTATGATAGTAAGGCTTATTATGTCAACATGTTTGACTGTGTCCATTTTTACATTTACCTTCAGCAACTTTTGTATTAATTGGTCGGTTTGCATAGAACTTTGCGTGAAAGTCATGCTTTACTGACCCCTAACATTAGCAGCACCAATATGGTGACTGTATGCCCTTTTAAGGCAGGAACAATATTGTTCACTGAGATTTTGTGTTGTGATAGCACTAATAACACCAGGTGGGCAGCTTATTAATAATCTGATTCTCAGTTCTTGTATGATCCCACCAGATCATGAAACAAGAATCTGGTTTTGCAGGTGATTTTGTTTTCATTGTATGTATAAAGTGTGGTTAATAAGGGGGCAATACACATTGAAACTGTCACTTTTGAAGTGCAGAAAATTGCCATACATTACATGAAAACAAGATAGTAGCTTTGTTGTGTGTCTAGAAATGTTGTTTCTAGATGTCTTTAAAAAACGGGACAGTGGAACCACGGTTCCGGAGAATTTGATGTAAATACGTCTATACGGTAAGGAGTTTATATAGTGGCTTTATTCTAAATATTTTCTTTATGCCCGCTTTACAATTGATTAAAATTTGAGTAAGACAGCACTGCCTACCTTGAATTAGTTACGCTTAAGATGGGTCTGTTGTAGCTGAAATATGTTATAAAATTCCATATAGACGTATTTATGTCAAAAGTATTTATACACATGGCAAAGTTGTTGTCTTGTAGTAACAAAAGTGTCCTGCTAAATCATTTTTTTAGTTCTTGAAGTGAATGAAGTTTATTTACATACATTTTATTTTCTAGCATACCCCATAAATGAAAGTCCCAAGTACTTAAATTGGATAAGTGGGCAGGCCACAACTTATAACTTGTTTACCAAAAACTTCAGTTGACGTATTCATAGAATTATTAGTTGTATGTGCTGAAGCACTTCCCTGAATGAAATGCCCATGTTTTGTCATTTTAGGTCAGTTGAACAAAATAAGGGTGTCAGAATGAATCTCACTCAATGATCAGAATTTATTGTTTTGTCAAGAAAATTGACCATGTCATTTTCTGAGCACTAATTTTACAAGACTCTCTGACATTCTCATCATGTACAAGCACTTCATGAAAAGATGAGGATTTTCTGTGGACCAATGTAAATCACAGATTTCTGAAACCACCTGCAGTATTGAATTTTTGCTTCACAGTCTGAAGGCAGAAGATTATGCACAGCTGTTGTTTGTGGGATCGTAATGTTAACAATTTTGTTGCAACATGGAGTGTACTTCGTGATGTTTCACATTGATGATCCAAGTAGCATAGCTTTCTCAGTTTGCTTCTAATCAAGTGCCAGTATTGTTCAGTTTGTGCATGTCCTTTCTGGGTTTTATTTTTGTGTAAAATTGATCCTGTTTGAGTCACAATATAAGTAAGTGCACAGTAACTTTTGTGGTTATGCTGTAAAGAGCAACATCTTTTTGACAGGTCGCTGAATATGGAGCAGGAGGCCCGTGAACGAGAAAAGGAGAAGGAACGAACGCAGAGTTTGACTGGCCTTCCAGCAGCAGCAGGAGGACCTAGTGGTGACAATAGTAATTTCTTTTTATATCAGATATCATGAAATACAGAAGTAATCCAGAACTTTGAACATGTATAAGGCTAGGCTAATATTATCTTAGCTTAGTTTTATGGATTTATAATTGTTGTTACTATTATTGTTATAATAATCACCACTACCACTATGTGACATTTTCTGTTGTAACTTTTTAATTTGTTATTTTCATATGTAAGTAAATCACGATTGATGCACTGTAAGTTGCCTATATGTGAAAACTGAAATTACTGCACTCAACTTATGTCCATAACCTATATAAGACATTTCTTCTTCCGTTTCTTGACCATTACTTCGGTCTTCCGGTGCCTAATATTTTCTTCCATTCTTCTCTATTTTCCCATCCTTCTGGAAGTAGTTTCCACTCTATCATGGTTCTTGTAATTCTGTCGTTCCACCCTGGTCTCGGTCTTCCTCTCTTCCTTCTCTCTTATTTGCCATTTCATAGTCTTCTTTGGTAACCTTTCCTCCTCCATCCTTTGCACGTGTCCATACCAAATCAGTTGTCTTTTCTCTATCTCCTCAGTTATATCTCGATCCACCCTCGTGATTTCTCTAATCCTTTTGTTTCTCACTCTCTCTCTTCTGGATGTTCCAGCCGATTAATCTTTTTTAAAACTAAAATTAGTCGGTGAATTAGGTTTAGTTGGTACAGTGTCAGTGCAACAGATTTTATAATACAGTTGCATTTGTTAAATTGTAGCCACTTAAAAAAATTTCAGATCTTGAAACCCACTACCTCGTATTCCTGTTGGTTAATGTGTGTTTTTTTGCGTTGCAGATGTGCAGACCCTTGACACAATGCAGGCTTTGTGTTTGCCTTTGGGAGCATCGATTTCACTGCTAGTAATGTTCTTTTTCTTTGACTCTATGCAGATGTTGTTCGCGATCTGTACAGCAAGTAAGTCATAAGTATTTTAGTGTCCTCTTTCTTTATGTTATAAGAAAATATGGTCTTATGGTATGATGTGTATGTTTCTCTAATATCTTCTGAGACCACTCCATCTTTGTACTTTTCAATTTCCTGGGTTTTTTATTTTTTAAGTGGAAGTCAAAATTTAGAATATCTGTGACACCCCAGAAGACAGAAATCTTCATACTAAGAATCACCCTGATGACGGAGGCAGTATGACCTCCGAAATGTTGGTAAACATCGACCAGACTACACAGCGCAACAACCCAGAAGTCAGAAATCTTCATTAAACAGATTGTTTTTTCTAAGTAGTTTGCATCATATGTGTACAAGGAATGGTAGATACTCTCATAAGTACCAAGCTGTAGTTAGAATTTGTTATACTGATCTTATGTCTAAAAATGCACAGCTGGAATCTTTATATGAAGGTGATTTATCAGTTTAATGTGTTTAAATTACTCGACTCCATTCGCTGTTTTCTGCTCATGTATTTTGGGCATTTGTTTCTTCATTGCTTTGTAAAAGTCTTGTTTGTTGTGAGTAATGCTGTGTGTTCTGTTCTTATTTTTCAGTAATTGCTACTGTGGCTCTAGCGTTCCTTCTTTTACCTATGTGCCAGTATGTGATCCGGCCATGTTCTGATGGAAATAAGTAAGTTAAGAGATGATGTTACAGATAATTTTACACTTGATGGATTTATTGGTGATCTTTATACAAGTACTTCAGCAGAGGCTTAATTATTATAATCCAGGAAGACTGCAAGTGCTGCTGACACAATTATTATTAATGTGACACCAATCATCAGATTAGTCTTCATTACCAGTGATATATTTTTATTTGCAGGATCTCATTCGGGGTATGTGGACGATTCACTGGTGCCGAACTTCTCTCCTTTTCATTAGCCGTTTTCATTGTATGCATATGGGTTCTGACTGGGCATTGGTTACTAATGGATGGTAAGTTATTCATTAATTTTACACATAGTGAATTTCTTTTCTTAAAATAAAATTGTTTACTCTTAATGTAATAAGCCTAGTAGCTGGAAAACAAGTTTTCCTCCAAGTGCTTATTAGAGAAATAACAAAAAACATTCAAATCCCAATACAGCACCCTTCTGTATACTGCAACTCTCACATTGCACCAGTGAAATCAAAGAATCATAAATATCTATGTAATTTCAAAGGGAATTTATTGGTAAAGCACTACCCGTGCTAGCTGCCATCTAGCAATGTCTTATCATAATACAAATATACCATTAAGCGTGAAATCAAGTTCAATACAACCCCATACCAGTTTGTTTCCACCGGCTATAAACGCAGCTCCTTCAAATATCCAGTTGTGGACAACAGCAACTTCTGCATAAATAAAACTTACTTGGGGGGTAATAAACCACCTGTAGCACCTCTAGGATTGAGTTGGTTTTTTACTTCGGGTCAGTGGCATAACTGGCGACGTTGAAAATTCAGGCAGTTACAATAAATTAACTTGATACTGGCAGGAACGTTGATTTGAAAATGTAAACGATACAGATAGTAAGTAAGCTGCATACAGTAAAGTAAAGTAAAGCTGTCCCACTATACGCCATGCAGGCGCTTGGGGGGGAGTGGAGGTATAGTTCCTACTCTTTCTTGACCTCGGCACTAGATGGGGGTGAGGGGTCGGCATCACGCCCCGGCCGCGCTTTACCCCCAGGAAAGGACCCCGGTACCCATTGTAGAGGAGGCTGGGTGGGCCCCAGAGCCTGTCTGGACGCAGAGGCTAGAGGAAAAATCCTCTGCCCTCGTCAGGGATCAAACCATTCCGTAGCCAGGCACTATACTGACTGAGCTATTAAGATGCATACAGTGACAGTTAAAATTCCAAGAATTTGGGTGAACCGTTATAGGTCCTCCCCTTTTTCACTGTTTACGTGGGCTAGTGGATTCTTCCATTATGTAATTTCACACAAATGGATGTTTACATCAAAGTCATCATGAAAGTATTGAATGTTAGAATTAGACTGGAAGTATGAAAAAGCTATTTATAAAGCAGAATTGTTCTACTGTAGTAGAAAATCATCCAGTTGCTTGTAAGACTTGAGGTTCTCACAGCGGTGAGTATGAAGATTTCCGTCTTCTGGGTTGTTGCGCTGTGTAGTCTGGTCGATGTTAACCAACGTTTCACAGGTCATACTGCCTCCGTCATCAGGGCGATGAGTATGAAGATTTCTGTCTTCTGGGTTGTTGCGCTGTGTAGTCTGGTCGATGTTAACCAACGTTTCAGAGGTCATACTGCCTCCGTAATCAGGGCAATGACGCACTGATGAAGGAGGCGCGGCGCAACAACCCTTAAGACAGAAATCTTCATCCAGTTGCTTGCCTTACTTACAGGTGGTAGTGATTATACTAGAAGTACAGAAACTGCTGTTTTTTCTCACAACATTTATGGATATTTGGATGCTTTGTATGAGTCATGATTAAGTAAGTGAAAAAATGTGATTTTCTCTTCCATGCTGGCCTGTACGTTAACCCATAAAAGTCTCTTAAATTTGTTTTCATATACATTTTAACTTGCTAGATTGTCTTGAGATTTACTTCGTACTGTACTTCCGTCTTACCATCCCCTTTGTTGCGCATCCTTATCTAAACTGGACAAAGGAGTTTGAGTTTATATAGCCCATTTAGAGGAAGACAAGATGAAATGTAATAAATTCAGAAATATGTGAAATGGTTGCCGTGGACTCACAAGAAACAAAAGCATAGAAGAGGCTAGTGTCACTGAGACTTATGAAATTAAAGATCGGAGATTACAATGTAAACTTTTGAACAAGTTATCAAAATGTTTTGTTGTTAAGTGGAACTCGTGAGAATACTGTGGAAATAATTATTGTCGCAAAGCTTGTGCAGTTGAAGTTGTTTGTTGTGTAATGTAGGTTTTCAGGGATAGGCTTTGTTCTATGTTTATAGCTGTTCAGTGTCTCAGCAGACATTGCAGTTTGCCATCTTTAAAATGTAGACAGGGTTGCTTGGAAGTTTTGTGTAGGGCAAGCAGTGAGTTAGTAGCAGGATTTTATGGCGCTGGTTGGTGGAGCGGGAACGGGCTGCTATACAGTGGGAGAAGTGTGTGTGGTTAGGAGAAGAGGCCATGGCTTATCCCTGGAAACTGAAGTTATACATTGTGAAAACAAATTATTCATGGTATGAATTACTTTGCATAGAATTACAGTTTGAGTTCAGTTATAATTAATGTGATTTGTTCTGTTTGCTAGCGATGGGGATGGGTCTGTGTGTGGCTTTTATTGCCTTTGTGCGCCTTCCAAGTCTGAAAGTGTCAACATTGCTACTGACTGGACTACTTATTTATGATGTATTCTGGGTATTTTTCTCATCTTATATCTTCAATACCAACGTTATGGTAAAGGTAAGATGCAGTGTTATTTATGTTATGTGGTTCTTGTATTTACAGGGTAGCACATAATTAATTACAAGTAGGAAAGCGTGTGAGTATTCTAAGCACATTTTATGATTCCTTGGTTGCAATTCATGCACCAGCTGAATATTGTTTGGAAAAAAAAAAATTAAGTCCTGTGTCAAGATTCACTGCAGCTGTTTGGGTGTTAAAATTTATATGAAATTCTCTCTACATCAATGAAAGTTAGAACTAGTGTGTGAAATAACAATTCAACAATTGGCACAAGCTGCTTTCCAGGCTGTATAGCAGTTTGTAATAATTCCCCAACCCTTTGCTTTATTTCTTTGAAAAAAAGAAAACTAATAAAAGAATCAAATTATTTCAGAACCTGGTGCCTGTTTTAAGTACAAAATACAGGAAAAATTTAGTACACCCTACCTCTTTGTGCCAAAAGAATTATCGTCTTTACTGCCATTTTAGGTCTGAAATTCTCAAACTATGTTTCTAGTGTTTTCCTATGAGTTCTCTGGTATTGTGTGGATAAATTTCTGTATTTTATTTTAGTATAAATACCACCCTAGTTTAAAACATAATAATAAAATAGCAATGAAAGATGTTTTGCCCATAAGGATGTCTTCTCAGATCTGGTTATACAATATGTAAAGAAAGGTTTTAATACTTACCAGATGTGTATTCCTGGCAATGATAAACTGTCAGCTTGATGCGAATGTATCCCCTTTCATTATCTGATATCTAATTCTGTGTTGCAATGCCCTTCAGAAGCAGAGAGTTATTTTCCTGTTGAAGTAATTACATGCCTTTAATTAAACACAAAGGTTCATTACCGCGTTCTATAGACCCTTTTACTGGACCATGTCTGGATCCATAGTGTTTCATTTTAAGACTGTAGTAGTGTAAGTTGTCACCATGTCTTTGTACTGCTTTGATTTAGGTTGCAACAAGGCCGGCAGAAAACCCTGTGGGCTTAGTGGCTCGTAAACTTCACCTCGGAGGTGTCGTAAAGGAGGCCCCTAAACTGTCGTTACCAGGAAAACTTGTGTTCCCTAGTATCCACAACTCAGGACACTTTTCTATGCTGGGTCTTGGTGATATAGTCATGCCTGGATTGCTTCTTTGCTTTGTTCTCCGTTACGATGCCTATAAAAAGTCTCAGCTGGTGCATCTCGGAGAAACTGGTGTTCCTCCACCGAAGCATTTCAACAAGCTCAGGTATTGTGGATTTAAGATTATTAATTTTCTGTAGCATATGGATATGCAGGGTTAAAGTACGTTATGTATGAAATATTTTAAAGTGTTTTGTAGCTGATGCGAAAAAGTAGCTGTCATCAAATTGCATGCTTCAAGATCACAGCACAGTGCAGACAGGTTTATTAAACTGAACGTCATAATATGTAAAGAATGAACTTGTTTTGCTTAAAAGTAAATTTTGCACAAATGAAATTGAGTAAAGTATTTAACTTATTTGTATTTGTTTTCCAATGTAGATCATGATTGTCTAATGTCTTGAAATTTGTTGAGTACTTTTGTGGTTTAAATTTGAAGGTCAGGCTGACATGACCTTTCAGTTATGTGATTACATTATTAACTTTATGAATAAAAATTATTTTACAATTTAAATATGAATTCATAGGTTGATCGCTCATGACAGGGTCCGGTGGAGGGCTTTGGTTAATTCGGTGATGAACCTTCGGGTTCGGTAAGCCATCTGGTTGGTTGGGTCCACTATTTGGGAAGCCTGAGGGGAAGAGACCTCTGGGGAGACCTAGACGTAGATGGGAGGATAATCTCAGGCGTGATCTATGGGAGATAGGAGTTGAAGGAGACTGGATTTTGTTGGCCCAGGACAGGGTCCGGTGGAGGGCTTTGGTTAATTCGGTGATGAACCTTCGGGTTCGGTCAGCCATCTAGTTAGTTCATCAGTTGTTCGACTATGCTCTTTAAACCGCAGTGTTTATTCAGCAGTGAATAACATGGGAAAAGGATTATTTATGGTGAGTATGTAAGAATTTAGAGGAATCAGTAGTTGTTTATTTGAAGGTTCTGTTTAGGTATTCACCTAGAGAGACTGAGGAAGACAATGTGAATCTTCTGACTTGACCTTCACTGCATGTGAATGCAGTGTCCATAAGTTCTGTATGTTAAAATTTATAATTGTTATATTTGTCAGGAAGTTGTGCAGAACATGGATATATGGCATACAAGAGTGGAAAGAATACTCCATATGGAGTAAAGCTCAGTTTGATTTTTATGGAAAGTGGGGGTTATATTCAACCGAACTCATATTAACCTAACAACTAATGGTGTAGATGTGTAGTACCTTGTAAATTCCTTCAATATTAGAGATGAAACCCGGTCAGGAAAGCTAGCAATGGCTGGGGGTTCGTCGTGCTGACCACACGTCACCCTATATCTGGTTGGATGATCGTTCACCTCTGCTTAGGCATGTGAATGTGAGGCCAGCAGTCAAGCTAGTCGGCTTTGGATCTCTGGAGCTGTTACGCCACGGATAAAATAATTAGAGATGAAACAGACATGTCCTCCCCATTTTGCACTTATTTCAAATAAAGAGTGCATAACATTACTGTTACATATCATGAGGATTGTTATTTGGAACTTCAAGTGATGCATATTTAAAAATATATCTTTGTCAGTGATGGATTTATATATGTAGTAAGTGAGCATCAAGATTCTGTGTACTAAGATATCAAGATTACAAAGATCAAGTTTGAAAGTTTTGTTTGCTCAGAAATGAATTTCACCTTGCCACTCTGGAATAGAACAACAGGCTAGAAATGTCATTTTACAAGGCCGTTAGCACGTAAAAGCAAATTCAGTGTGTCATGCAGTATTACTGAAATTATATTGTAGCTTTGGTGTGAAATTTTATTCCATGCACGTTCTGAGGTAACATGTTCAACATTTGTTACCGTACATTTCAGTTGTAACAGCTGAAATTGTGACAGTGTAGTGTTAACTCAGTACAGTTTGAACTGCGTCTGCGATTTACTTCTCATGATTTCTGTTGCCACATTGTCACTTTATATACCTTTTTGAGACTTCCTCCACTGGAGCTCTGTTGTTTTGTCTCGGTTGTACTGGAGTCTGGATTTACGTGACCCTCTTTGTGATAATTTTGTTTTTAGTCACATTTGCATCTGAAAGTTTCAGTAATCCATCTGTTAGCTTTGCGATGTCTGTCTGTTCACGTAGAAACTCTTGAAGCACCGAGTGGCTTATGGTGCATTCCGATTTGGTTCAGTTTACAAAGCAATAATGGGCACTTTACATGAGACTTACACACATTTCTGCGTGCGTAAATGACAGTGGGGAATCCCTAGCCAGACAGTCAACCATGATACTCACTTTGGGGAAATACTCCATGATGACATCTTGCCCCCGCTAAAGTCGTACAACTCTGACGTCACTGGCACCATTTTCAAAGGTCAAAGAATATTTTAATTTGGAAAAAGCTTATCTTATACTAAAATGTGTACAGAGATATGAGTGATACATCAATTTTTAACACAGAATACTTGTATAATCTCTGAATCCTCCACAGCTACTTCCACTGCTCTCTGATTGGATACTTCTTAGGCCTGCTGACAGCAACTGTCTCATCAGAAGTGTTCAAAGCAGCACAGCCAGCTTTATTATATTTGGTGCCCTTCACATTGCTTCCCCTTCTTACTATGGCCTACTTGAAGGTGAGCATGCTTATAACATAACCTAACCTATTCACATATTCTTTATCTTGGCACAAGATTTAGGTAAGCCATCAACTACTCACATATTCTTTATCTTGGCACAAGATGGAGGTAAGCCATCAACTAAGCCTCCAAAGATGGAGAGAAGCTGTCACTTTTACCTCCATAAATAGAGAGAAGGTTGGGTATGCCCAAAATCAAAAAATCAAGTTTGGTTATGTGGGAAAAATATTGGGTGATTTTTTTGAGACTCGGGAACCAGTCAGAATTTTTTACTTTGAAATTAATGGGAATTTTGTTTTTATTTTCAAATTTTCACCTTATAAACAGTTTTCATTGAATGGATTACATTCATAAATCAAGGGATGGATGTATTTTGTTTCAAATTGAGTTTGTAATAATAAATGCTTCATTCCTTGACTGTATTAATTAATTGTTTCATCTGCTTCGTTTGTGGTATATGTCCTGTTGTGATCTGAGATTTACATTTACTTCCTGTATCTCATTTTAGGGCGACTTGAGACGAATGTGGAGCGAACCATTCATCGTACATCCTCCGTCAAAACATTTGGAAGTCTGACAAGACATGTCATCAGTTCTCATGCTCTGCAATTTAGCCTGTTGTGGTGGAACTGCTGCTGCATCGGCTGTGCCTGTTGTATTTAAGTGATCGGAGTGAATGAGCAGAAAAACAGTGTCCTGTATATTTGTTTTCTGTTGTTGAAAATGTGTTAAGTTGTGAACGAGCTGAAGATATACATTCCTTATTCAGCTTGTTGGAACTGCATTTGTCTGTTAGAACAATGACAGAGCAAAGGAAGTCTTCATCGGACGTGTTTATCCAGCCACACCATTCTTCATTTGTTCATTCCAACATAAATAATGGAATAAATCTAGCAACACAGGAAACTGTCAGTTCAGTCCAATATGCCTGTGCTGATATCACTGACAAAATTTAAAACAAATATTTTGATTACCACCTACACCCGACAACCCCACAAAATCTATAATGCCTATTTCATTTTGTGCATTAGTTGGAAGAGAAGGCCTACTGTAATAATACTCGTTGCTGTATTACATGATCTTGACCTGCGGTGAGTATGCATGTATGTTTATATGTCGATTAATGTAGGTTAAATCGATTTTTACTTTTGTTGATTTTAGGATGTCCATTATGTTCTGTTACTTTAATGAAACTGATTTTATATTGCATTTTATTACTGAAATAGTGATTATGTTGAGGTGGTGATGTGTTCTTGATTAAATATGTGTTTCTTGCGATTGTAAAAATGAGATTGATTTCGCGTGAAATTGTCCAGCAAGTGACAAGAAACATTAAAGGTGAGCAAAACCAGGAGGGTACAGTGGGAACTGTAATGTTATTATTTTAGTAAGGTATTATACTCATTTATCATTTCATTTAATATTTAAATACAAGAGTGAGATTGTAGGATTTGAGGTTTTGGTGGTGGTAAGTCTGAAGATGGCTGTTTTCTGGGTTGTTGCCCTGTGTAGTCTGGTAGAAGTTTACCAACGTTTCGGTGCCCTGATGATGGAGGCAGCAAGGACCTCTGAAACGTCGGTAAACTTCTACCAGACTACACGGTGCAACAACCCAGAAAACAGCCATCTTAAGAGTGAGATTAATTAAAAGAAAATTATATAAAATTGTCATTGGCATTTTGATATTTGCCTACTTAAAATATGGTTTTCAGCTTGTAAAGTTAGTGATAAGTAAGTAATTCAGAATTATTTAATGTATTCCATAACTCTAGTCACACATGTTTGTTTCTTAACAGCCTATCTACAACAAAAAGCAAACATATGGTAAGTGTCTGAAATGTCTAAGAAGTGTTTTTTCTTATGTCTCTCTTTACTTAACAGTGCCACTGTATTTACTTGAATGAAAGATAACTTAACCTTAAATGACCTCCCCTACCCCCACCCCCACTAAGAAATATCTGTCAGGGAAGTTATTGTAAAAAAAAATGTATTAATTTCGTAACAATTGCTACAAACGTGTGATAGATAATAAATACTTAAAAAACGTGTGAAACATTACATGTATTAAATCACTTTCTTCTTTGTGATATTGCTGTCACTAAAATTTATCCAGTTTCAGTTATTAGTCCCACTGTTTTCATTATTCCTGTCTTCTTTCTAAGCCTAACTGTCTCACACATTGTCCTTTAAATCACTCCACAGGTGAAATTCTAACTATGTTAAGTCAGGAGACTGGGGTGATACTCCATATTTCCTCTTTACCCTCTCCATCTCCATGGGAAGCGAGCATTGATTCACATGGTTTTCGTAATGCGGTGGCTGATCGTCATGTTGAAAATAAGTCTTCATCAGAAATCAAATCATTGATGCACATTATGATGCCCTACAATACTGATAAATTGGAAGTACTTGTGACACTCGCTTCAAAGAAAAATGGCTCTGTCATTTCTCTGAAAGACAGACTGCACTACACTGATATCCCTGATAAATTGACTGCTTGTTGTTCTGTTACGCACAGACTTTGTGGAACCAGTACGCATGGTTGTGACGATTGACAGTACCGTTAAATTTAAAAGTTGCTTCGCAACAGTTGAATGTGGATAAGATACATTGCCTTCACACCACTCACAAAATTCAAGTGGCAAGCTGGATTGTCTTCAGTGTTGGTATGTATGGTTTCCACTTCTCACTGTGTAAAATGTGATTAACACTGATTTTACAGACACGTCTCAAAACTCTAAGATACATTTTAATGTTATTCTTCCTTTTATGCCTAGGTCTTCTAAGTGGTCCTTTCCCTCAGGTTTTACAACCAAAATTTTATACGCATTTCTCGTCTCCATCATACATGCTACATGCCCCATCCTTTTGATCCTCCTCACAGGGGGGCGATTAGCCACTTGAATTCGGAGCGAAAGTCCAACATTTCAGAGACTATCTATGAAGGAATGATTTTATGAACTGTGTGTTAACGAGCCAATAGCTGTGAATACTGACGCATATATCTTTACACTATGAAAAATACTGTCTTTTGGGTTGTAGCGCTATGTTGTGTGGTCAAAGTTTACTGACATTTCAGGAACACTGATAAACTTACCAGACTACACAGTACTACCAAACGTTGTAGTCGAGTGGTTCGCTTTCCTGCTTTGTATTCGGGAGGTCCCGGGTTAAAGTTTTAACCCGGAGCCCTGCTAACATGAGTTTCTTGTGGTTTTCCTCAGTCCTTCCAGGAAAATGCTGGAATAGTACCAAAAATTAGGTCACAACTACTTCCTTCCACATCCTTTCAAATTCATTATTCACTGTTATCCTTTCATATGATACTATATAGTCCAGATCCTGAAAGTGTCATTAAATAAACCAAAAAATAAAATTAGCACCTGAAATACTGTATCCTTTACAATAATTTTGATTCAACCATACTGGAAATAATCATAAATATTTTGTTTTGTTATTTATAACCCGAATGTGATATCAGCACAGCAGAGTTTATTCTTGTCCTTGACGGCATACGTACATTTCATTCATCAACTTATAAGCATTATGTGTGTTAAAAGATTCAAGTACTGTGACGTTGGCAGATTATTTTTCAGGTTTATTACGGAATGAAAGGAAGACATCTGCTTACTCCAAGTAACCTTTGTATGTGGCATAGGAATAAGAAAAGAACAAGTTGCAAAGTGTACACATGACATTTTTATGTAAAATGGATTTGAAGTGGGAGTCAATTATTTTATTATTTATTATTTACAGATGGACATTTTCTTATTTCACCAAGATGTGTATAGACTTTTTTTAAAAAAGTATTCTCTGTGTTGGTTTACCAGTTGTGTGAGTTTTTTATCCCTATGTTTTCACAGCGGTGAGTATGAAGATTTTTGTCTTCTGGGTTGTTACGCTGCGTAGTCTGGTCGATGTCATCATCGCCCTGACGACGGAGATAGTATGACCTCTGAAACGTTGGTAAACATCGACTAGAATACACAGCACAACAACCCAGAAGACAGAAATCTTCATTTTTTATCCCTAGTTTCACAAATTGTAATATGGAGGATTTTTATACACTTCTTAATTAAAAGGAATCTTGTTTACAATTAAGTATTTTTTAATGAGTTATTAGTTGGAAGTTGATTGTTATTCCACAGTTCAGCAAAGTTTCCAATATTCTCACTGATAACTTTATAGGTAACTGATACTGTCGCAATTCATGTTGAGAATTGTATTTCATCAGAGCGGATATCTGCATCTCAGAATTTTGCAAAGCATTTTTAGTTTCATGTTGAAATGTGTTTATACCAAAGTCAGACTTTCAGATGTAATGACAGGGGAGTTCTAAATGTTTTCAGAACAAAGTGAAGAATTTTGCTATAAACGTAGCTCATCTTGTAAGTGCAGTTATTTATTGCATTATACATGATGTGTGGCGCCAAGTATCCAAATTTTAAGTCTTAAATGCACGTCAAATAGATTTTTATGTACCTCTTTTATACTAATTTCAATTAAATTCTGAAATAGTATATTAAAATATGCCATGACCACTTCCTACTGCAGTCACTGTACTATTTAAAAAAACTGGTTGTACTAGTTAAAGTGGTTGTATGTTATTTTTAAAACATTTTATAATTATACATATTTCAAATTTCTCTGGCCGTTCAGAAGACTGACTTTGGTGTCTGATTCATGATGGAGTGGAAGGAATTGTAATTTTATTTATTTGTTTCTTGTAAACGTAAATGGTAATTTTGGTCCCTGGTAATGTTTCTTGCAAAGAAAGAAATGTATCAACTATTTTTTTGTGTTTTGTATTGTAAAAATGTTGAATATTCATTCAACTTTATAACTCAATGAATGGAACGAAGCCATGAATTGTCACTGTTTGATGCTTGATGTCCGCATGGTCTAGATTTTGCACATTTCTGGCGGCACAACAATTGACGTAATCTCTTATTTGCCCTTTCAGAGGGAATCATTTGCGCTGCATCAAGTAGGTTGTGAATAGATAGATAAAGATTAATAATATTTCAGTAACCTGATGGAGTAAGCAAATTGACTTCAAAGAACTATTTTTATTTGTTCTTTATGTTTATTGTATCACACTTTCGAGTAAATGTCAACAGTCACATACAGAATGGAGGCTGTTTCGTATCTGTGAGAAAATGCCTTGTGAAACGTGTTATATAATTATATGAGGGACCATAAATTATTCAGAAATTTAGTGTATATCCTGAACACAAGGCAAATATGGAAGGTGTAAAATGTTTATATATATATATAACTAACTAACTAACTAGATGGCTTACCGAACCCGAAGGTTCATCACCGAATTAACCAAAGCCCTCCACCGGACCCTGTCCTGGGCCAACAAAATCCAGTCTCCTTCAACTCCTATCTCCCATAGATCCCGCCTGAGATTATCCTCCCATCTACATCTAGGTCTTCCTAGTTTCTGTTGGTTTTTAGTTCACGTATATGCAGAGGCTGATATTGCTAAAATAATTATTTTTTATGCATTCTTTGCAGGATGTACATAAAATGAATGCCTGTCTGCCTGATTCAACTCTCGAACCATTGAATGGAATTTTATGAAATTTGTTTTGGATGTTATGCCGTCGGAGGGTACCCAAGAAACGTACGTTTTAATTTCCTACAACGTGGCAGATACACGAGCTCCTTCGTGGGAATGATGCTAGTGCCAATTAATTTGTGGTCCTGAAGTGATGTATGGATTTATTAAAAATATACAGTTCTTTTTACAATAATTTTCTTTAGAACATGACCAGGATCTGAATGCACGATCATCCATGTACGAGTCCAGTACAATAGAGCTAATTTGCATTTTATTATATCATTACGGATTTACGTTACGTAAAGAAAATGTTAAGAACAGGAGATTTGTAAAGTTATAAATTAAATTAGTGTAAGTTAATGAATACTTTTTCTTTAAATTAATACATTTAGGGATATTTTGATACACTGAGTGTTCATAAATTAGTAAATGATTTCAAGGGTGTATAATTATTTATTTATAACACGCACACAAAAAAAAATGTGTGAACTTCTGTGACCACTTGTGAAAAATACTTCATGTTGTGCAGCTGTTTTGTACATGAATTTTTGACGTCTTATAAATAAATAATTACGCACCCTTCAAGTGATTCTGCTAATTTATAGACAGCTTTATATTGCAAGTTACATATTGCGCGTATTGAATAATTTCTAATATAGAAACAAAGTCGAGGCCTCCGATTTCTCACTCGGTGGCTTTCTCAGCAGTCAGTACTGGATAAACAAATTAATCAATAGAAAACAATGAAAACTGTGTTTAAAACATGTTCATGTATTTTTAGTGATGATAGGGGAAAATATGTAAATTGCACTGCAATATTTAATGTATAAAGTGAAGCTTACACGGCAACTGAAGTTGGTAAAAAACTCTCGGGTTACAAGCTGCGTCAGGTGGCTGAACGGTGAATAAACCATGTATCCTGCCGATGTTTCGAGAACAATCTCTGCTGTCATCAGGGCTACTGTGTAACAAATTATATCCTTTATAGCGTGCATGCCGATGGGAACTCATCTCATCAACTGACATATTTAACGCTGTGTAATGGACATATATGCAAAAAAGTGAAAAAAGGGATGAGTCGTCAGACTCGGTTATAACAATGAATTTGCGTTTATTTTTGAGATGGTTACGTTCTGAAGTATCAGAATGACATGTCCGAAACTAGGTGAATTTTTTTATGTTATGTGTGTGCACTAGTAATTTGATTCCGTAAGGGAATATCCTGATCGGGTGTTCGTTTATAAGAATTCTATGGCTAAAAGTCAGTTTAAATACTCGGTCATTATAATTTCATATCCAGCTAAGTGAAGCTTATTTATATTTTGATTTTATACAATATAAGACAGGCAAAGATTTCAATAAAGTAAAGAGTGGTTTAAAATGAGAGCATATTTAAGATAAATTTATTATTTTTAACTTTTTAAAAGGAATCCACTTATTTGGATTTCTTATTCACCTTTAAGCTCTGATTCTCCAAATAATATAGATGGTGAAATAAACATTTTATGGGATGTATGGCATTTTGATGGTTGAGCAATGGAATATTAGAGTACCGCGTAATGTATCGAACTCTGAACTTTTTTATCGTGGTTTTATATAGACTGGAGAACAGTTTATATAACATAAGTTTTGAATTTCAGACTCATCAGGATTTGCAGTAACTTCTTGAGGTTGCGGAGGGTCCGGGATGTGCCGAAGCAGTATTTCGTAATTATTTCTGACTATGGAACCTTCCTGATTTTGAGAAATTATTAACGGAACGCCCATCAAGGACAACAACAGGAATAAATCACAGGTATGGAAATGTCATGAATGGGGCAGGTTGTTTATGGTGTAATGAAATTGGAAACTATAGATAAAGGGGAAAAAAAATATAAATAAGCGATTCTGTCATTCCTGTTGTTTCGCTTATTGTCGCTGATATATTTCATGGTTTAAGTCTCAGAATTAAAATCTTTAGGATATTCCATTTGTGTCATTTGGAAAGTATTTGACAAAATACAAACTTTGAGTTTTTTCAGTTTAATGTGATTTTAACATATGAAGAAAATGTGTGACTGTTTTCTTCAATTTTCAAAATCTGTGTTGTACGAAATACCATTTTTGTAACATTTGAGGGTGTCTTTTTGAGAACTTATCAATTCAGATACGCAAGGAGCTCGTAATTCAAAAAATTCAATGAAATGTGAAATATTTATTTTAAATTTCTGTGTCGGTCATCGCCCGTCAGCTTCGTAAGTAGGTAAAAGACATCAAACACCCTTTACCTCCACAGAACATTTTTAGCCTCAAAAAGATTTATTTAAACCCGAAATGAAGCTCATATCTGCGAGCATGAGATGCATGTATTTTTCTACAGTGCAACTAACTCTTTGTTTCTTGACGTAGTCACAATTTATTTTATTTCTTGTCTTCCAGTGATCGACCAATTAATTCCTTGACCCCATCAACAAAACATCTTTCTCATTTAGTCATGTAATCAAACTTGCCCGACATTACACTCGTCATCAGTATTAGAAAGAATGATTCAGATTCACTTGGTGAGAGGTCCTTTGCGTAACGTCCGTTGGGAGGACTTCTGTCGACATTGCTCGAGGGGCGTATCATGGAAGCATGCAAGTAGACTCTCTTGGAAAGTTTTTACTCTACATCGCTTTTGCAGGAAATATGTTTATATAATGCTGTTTAATATTATTTTGCTTCTCAACATTTTTTGGGATTTGGTGATTCTACGATTTGCCACTTTATTTGGTTTCGTCCTTGAACCGATGTGTCTACGTCTCATTACCTATCAATTCATCCTAGCTTTATAGGGCACCCTGATAATGGAGGTAGCAAGCACCTCTGAAACATTGGTAAACTCCTACCAGGCTTCGCGGTGCTACAACCCAGAAGACAGACATCTTCGTACTCGCCACGAGAATCTCAAATCTGAGTTTGACGTGCTAGATGAGAATTTGATATAGAAGAAAGAGCTTTCTTTACTTAATGGTAGAGCAAAGTATAGAATATGTGGACCATCGCTCCTTCATCCTTATACATCTTTATTGTAGTTATTACCCACGCGGATACTGATAAGCCTATTATCATTTGCATTTGAGGGTCAGAATATGCATAATTATAAGAACGCTGATTTGTCGTCGTTATAAATTGTTTACTTACCGTAGAAATAAATTATTGTACTCGGTTGTACTGTTATAATTGACTGTTACGATTAATTATGCATACAGCTCATTTGTTCAAAATATTTCATGTTTATGCCCTTTAACTACCGTATTTATCTCACAAACAGAATTTATATAAATATTTATGTCTTACGAAACCAGGTAGGTGTCAGTTAGTCTGTTTCATGAAAAACCTTTGTTCTGGCGAATATTCGGAAGACGGTCTGGTAGAATCCCAAGCAGGAGTAATTACAAACACTGATTTTATTAAACCCATAAAAGTTCAGAAAGTAAAAATTCGGAACAAATGCATTTACAAAACGGTCACTTGCAGAGAGACGGCTGATTTCCTATATTGATATCAGTTCGTATAAAAATATCTCAAATAATAACTTTTTCTGTGCTCAGACTCTGTAATTGATGAAGTACCATTAAATAATATTAATGTATACGAACTGAGAAAAAATATAAACAATACGTAAGAAATAGATAATAATGAACAACTTAAAATTACACCATAATTTTATATTTAAATATATTTCTAAAACTTATTAATTAAAAAACCATAGGTAAATCTAGCATTATTCTTTCACAGCCAAAGTCCTGCCAGTCCTGAAGTTTCAAAATGGAATCTGCACCAAAAAAGTAGACTTTCTGATCGTTATGTTCTTTCTTATTTAAATTATTAATTTGACATAAAATGTATTGCCACCTTGTGATTTTGTTATGTCGTATTTTATACGAATTAATTATTCATTTTGTGGTATGCTTTATTTAATTACAACTTATCACATTTAAGAGCTCCCACTTTAATGTGAAACTTTATTACATTTCAAATAATACTTCAAATAGTACTTATTATTACATAGGTTGCTATAATTTATTTCATACAATTACGTAATATATCCCACACTTTGCACAAGTATCAGGTACCAAAATCTAACTTTCTGGGGGGGGGGGGCTTGGCACTTGATCTTAAATCAGACGGGATTGCAGCCGACAGCGTCTAAATGTTTCTTCATATTCTCCAGTTTCTGGAGGTCAGTCACTGTGGATTCACATTTATACACTACAAGGTTGTGATAAAAATGGACTGCAAATGCGACAAACACTATCAGGACAGGGATCACGATGATTGTCGCCGCCCACGCGGCTGTGAACGAGTAGTCCCAGAACTTAACCCAGCACAAGATGGCCACTTCTACCAAGAAGAGAAATAATCCTAGTACAGTTGAGAATGCCCATGCGAGTTCTATAAAACCGCGCATTCTTTCGTGTGGCGACTGACTGACCAGCTCCTGGACCTGTAGTTTGCTGATGGCGTCAATATTTGGTAGCAGATATGTACTGATCATCAGCGCAAAAATGTGCACTGCCACGAGAACGGTGGTACACACAGAAAACATGACAAACAGCCACTCGGGGACGTTTGTCGGCTCGTTAATTTGAAGCTCCACCATTGCTACCTGAAATAAGCGATACACATCCATTTCATACTTGAATGATTATTTAGTTTCGTGGTTTATTGACACATTCTAACACATTTGAAATATCACAGGATGTGATGATGGCCGGGGTTATTTATTTTGTAGACAGATGTAGCGGTTTTGTAAGAAATGTATTTATTTTGAAAATATTTTGAGTAGTATAATTAGGCTAGTGTTTTTAATGGGTTAACAACTTTTAGTTAACTGCACGGTTAACCTTTCATTACTCGTTTAAAAATGTAATATTGCAGTGTACGAAACTATAATTATGCTTCTTGTTTTTGTATGGGTGTTGAACTTGGTACATTAAGCAAGAAACTGCATTACGAGTTTAATAATGTATACATTTTACCAAATAATGTTTTAAATCAAGGAGGATGAAATATGTGGGGGACAGATTATTTTGAGTTGAATCCCTGAGGTTTACAGTGAGTGCTGTCTCGTGTTACAAATCCGTGTCGGAAGTTCTGAAGGTGTTTGTCTGTTGCATATGGTTTCATATTCGTTGCAGATATGCAATGTATTTCTCCTTAACCAGCTTCAGTATCTCCGAGTATTTCTGAGGCGTTGTGTTTACTGGATAGCCACTCCATATGTCTGCATTCCGTATGTTTGCACACCGCGGATGATGGTTGCATTGAATGTTATTCAGAAGCCATTTGTGGTAGAAGTTTTTAAAACCCATGAATTAATCTCTCCGCGATAATCCATCGAGGCCTTCGATTCAGATGCGAAAATTTAACTTGCTCTGTGGAATAAATTCCGTGGTAGCTGAACCGGCATAACGTAAATTATGATGACCTGTTTTGTCAACGGAAAACGTCCGTAAATAAGCAAGCACTTCTGCCAACTGATGATCATTGACCAGCGACCACGTGACATTCTTGCTACGGCGGATCCAGCAACTGATCGAGTATTCGTGCGTTTCAGTCAGTTGACAGTGGTTTGTGGGTGTTCTCGATCTTTGAGGTTAGGGCAGGAGAATCCAAGTTCGGATGGCGTAGATTCGAAACAGGTAGGTCTGAATATTCATGTGTGTTGTAGAGCAGATGTTAGCAGTGTTTTCATTACCGCAGGAAGCATTGGCTATTAATATCTTTGTCGAGGGCCACAGTGAAAAAATAATGTCGTGGAGAGTAAGCGAAATTGTCTGTGTCTTTACTTTAAAAGAGTGCAACTAGTAAGAATTAGAAAACATAAATGTATTTTGACAAACAGCCTAGTTTATTGTATAAGAATTAGAAAACATAAATGTATTTTCCCAAACAGCCTAGTTTATTGTGAACACGTTATTTGTTAGGTTTCAAAACATTTCTGATTTCAAGTTATTGTCAATTTCATAAAACTCAAGTTATTAATATCACAGAAAAATCTTACGGATTTATTAAATTTCGATATCTTTGAACAACAGAACAATGCAGTTTTGCGGGAAGAAACGCATTTTTATTGCGACAGGTATACATATTCAAAATTTTAATTTGTTTAATACAAATAATTTCGAGTCTTTGCATCTACTGTCAGATAATGTGTGTCACTATTCTCAAAGGACAGAAAATGTTTACCCTTTTCGCAGTGACCAATTCCCAAATCGTGAGTGACTGGAAAAAAAAAATGTTGTGTTGACCACATGTTGGTTGCGGGCTGCTAGTTGCTTATGTCTGTCACAGAGCTTAGCTAGATTGCTGGGTCGTAGTGAGCTAATATTAAGTGTGCTTATTTCAGAATTGTGTGCAGTGTAAGAAATAAGTAGTCTAGAAATAGACGCATTTAACTGTTTCTCTTCATGTAAATTGCACTGTCTCGTAACCAATAGGCCACTTTGTCATCCCAGAGCGTAGCATAAAGTACAGATAATACCAACATACAGTGCCACATCTTATTCGCGATGTTTGAAAGTCGATGTAAACAATATCCCCACCCTTACCTAGTGCTGACTCTGTAATATCCGTTCTAAAAACATTTAACTGACAAGAGGACTTATTGTACTGTTTTATATAATTATACTACACACGCTTACCAGTACGCTATTACACACGAAATGAACCGTAGAGAAATGTGTTAACACCACAGCACGCAACACGTGTTAGAGAAATGATTCAAACTAATGTATGCGGGACGGTCAGTACCGCAGACAGACATTAGTCAGCGAGAGCATTCGCCATTCCAGGATGAAGCCTTACCCCCTAATACTTCAAAATATACAAAGACAGTTTCGCCCCAAATAGATTATTACGAAGCTATGACAAACAGTATTTATTTATTTAGTCCCATATATCAACAAAAGGACATTTACAAAGACAGGATATTTTAAAGTAATGAATGTACTGGGCATGGGTTCTGTTCCGGTAACAGCCATTGTTTACTTTGTCTCAAACATCGCGGAAACAAGTTTGGTTCTATAGTTTTCGTATGTAGTGGCGCACTTTTTTCGAGTCACTGTTTTCTGTATTCACCATTGTGCTTTTTTGTTTTTGCGAACCGCCAAAAATTATTTTCCATTTTCTCAAAGATACTACTTGCACGAACCGCCAAAAATTATTTTCCATTTTCCCAAAGATAGTACTTGCAAAATTACAGACTTGTCATGCAACTTACCATAGCGAATCCAGACAGAAGTTCCGAGGTAGTGGCCGTGGCTTTCAGTTTCGCCCTGCTCATATGCAACCGGCGCCAAGATAAACCCTCTGGAGTCATTGCACCTTCTTCGGTCAGACTTGAGCCTTCACCGCTCTGTGGAGAATCAAAATCGAAGTGTCATCGACTTAGGAATATCTGCGCTGGTGTTATTTCCTTCTTTAAAGAATATTGTTATGATTGCTTCTTAACCCTGTTCTATTCGCATAAACGTAAGGTTTTAGAACAGCTGAAAATGTTAAGACGTTAAATAATACGTTATTGTTGTATTTATTCTTTCTTAAACTTTCTCGTAAAGTCGTGCTCCAAGGATGTTGACTGTTATGTTAGGATTAGAAGGGGCAGATGTCCAAATTTGAAACTGCCCACAGCAGTATCTGCTACAAAGATTCATAACAGTAAAACAGTATGAGCTTGTGACTTCGGTAATAATGAACAACCTTATAGTCTGTTTTGCATTATTATTGAAGGATTTATGATGAAGATCCGTACTGAACATCCTTCCTTGTCCTGGATCAACAGTTGGCTAGCGTAAATAGTTACCGAGCATGTTGGCTCAGTGTTAACACTTTCGATTCGATTCGAGAGGTCGCTAGTTTGAAATTCAATCCGGAAGCTCACGTTATCGAAATAAAGGAGTAAAGCGATTCGCATGTTATCGAAACAAAGGAGTAAAGCGATTCGCATGTTATCGAAACAAAGGAGTAAAGCGATTCGCATGTTATCGAAACAAAGGAGTAAAGCGACTCACCTGTTTTCGATTGCTATCGCACTGACACTGACAGCCAACACGGCTGTTCAGTGACTGTTGCGAGATGCTGTAAGGCAGTCCAACGGGCCGTGCGACACTGCTGCTTGGATACCTCCACGGCCTCATCTGAAGCTGAGTTATTCTGCCAGGGTAATAAGGTACAACCGGGGGTGGGATGTTGTTACTGGACATACTCTTATATAGGCCTATGGGAATAGCTCGGTGGGAAGTGTAATATGGCTCCGAATTGCTGGGTGTTAGGGTTCTAGTCATTGGAATTTCACATGAAGATTTCAGCACTGATTGTTGTGAATTTAAGAGGTCTATTTGACTGCGACGTGAAATTGATGACTCTTCCAGAACACTCGGAGGATACCTGAGGATGATGTTAAAACAAAATATAGTTAACATTCAAATCGAACATTAAACCTACGGAACTACGTTCTTCTAAGTCATCTTGTTCGAAAAAAATCTCGACATTTGCTTCATCAAGTTGCGGGTGTTCATAAAAGTTTCAGAATTTTTAGAAAGGTTAGAATATTATGTTTATATCAAGCACTGTTGGTGTTCATTTTGAAATATTAATAGGCACAAAAAATACAGACCGACGTATACACATCCGTGTTCTTTAATTTTATATTTATATTTTGCTGTCATTCTTGACAGGAAATTTTGTTATATATATAAAGTACTATATCCTACATAATCCTCATTCAGAAATGAAGACCCAGTGCCTTGTGCTAACCCTTTGTAGCCGAATTTCGTTTCAAGAATACTCTAAAATATTCAGTTGTTACCGCAAAGAAATCACATTTCATTACGAAGATAAAATTGTTAATGCTATTTAGAGAAATAATTGGTTTACTCTGAGAATCGTGCCAAACTCATAAAAAAAAACTATCTAGGAAAATTCTGTTACATTGTTATAGTCGCCACCCGTTAATAATAACAAGTAAATAAATCTCAGATGTAAGTATAGCCGTAGATGATAAGTTGGTGCATTATAGGGGCCAAGGCCATAGATAACATTGTGAGATCAAGATTTGTACTCACTCCAAACTAATCACGTGACTTCTTACCATCACCTTATTAAAAACTAATTCGATCTTACCTAGTGACCTACTTGGTTCACCGGTGAGTTCAGTCCATATTAAACCGATAACTAACACTTCATCTTATTTTGTGTCTTTGTAGAGATGCTACAGAAGCAGTTGGACGGGCGACATATCATTCAAATGTAGTTATTTAATTAATAAGTCATTAAATTATTGTCTAAATGTAAACTCGCAGCCAAGAAATGCCAGCAATAGGAGCCCCGAACATTACTAACACTGCCAAAAATGTACAAGGTCAAATAGAATACATCCTGATCATACGAACAGCCACGTAATCGAAACACGCAAAATTTATACCGATCTGCATGAAAATTGACATTCTTATTCCTTGAGACCAGAAACAGAATATGTACGTTGCTTTCGAGGAACGTATCCCCCGCGGTGGACCACTTTTTACTGTACTACGTTAGGTATTCCGGCTTGTCTTAGCATTATCTGATTCTGTGTCTGGACCCATCATGGAATTATGTTCATAGACAGTAAGCATTTTGGTTTATAGGTTACGTCACTTGGTTATTTTATCGGATTAATCACAAATACACAGCTGACGAGAAATGCAATGAATTACCAGCTGAATTTGAGTTAACACTCATTTGTCTGTAAAATATTTATCTATCGATACATCAATTATCGATACTGCAGATACCGGATGTTACGTGTTACCTGCAGGGACTCTGTGAATCCGGAAATGACGTAGGTCTCGACATCGAAGTTTTGAGAGGTTGTTGATCCGTGTAGTATCGATGTATTGCGCCCTGAATCGAACTGTCGCTACCTGTTGTCACGTTGGATCCATTGGAAGTGCCCTGTGTTGTGGGGTGAGTGGAACTTGTCGACCGGACATGGACGTCTCCATTAGGTACTGTCTGAAGCCCGGCCAGTGTTGGTCTCGATATATCCTGGGGTAGAGGCTGGTGAGTTGACAATAGTTTATTATCCACAGCAGCTGCTGGGGATCTAGAGGCAGTCGACTCAACGCCATTCGTAATGTCCGACATCTACAGGAAACAATACACCCATTACAAGGCAACACTGAAAAGATTTTATTTAATATACCGTAAGATGTGATGGGTGGCGTCCAAAATTGTGACTGAAACAATAAAATGTATCTAAAATATCGGCTAATAATTATCAGATCGTCTGTGAATAACTTAAATGGATATGGAGTTGGTTATATTAATTTTTTATCCAAACCCTGAAGCTTTAAAACTTGCAGGATGGCCAACTTAGCATATTGCGCTGTTTGACTGTTACATCTGAACGCGTCGTATTCAGAACAATGGAACATGAACGTGCCCGGTTGCCTACAGTGCACGGCGCAGTTATATACGTTCTCTTCGGGTTTCAGCATTGGAACTGTTTAATTTTAAAATAAATTACGCATTTCGTGGCATGACATTTGAAAACAAATTAGTGTGGACAACATTTTGGACTTAATAACACCAAGTAACAGAGGACGGAGAATTTTTGGTGATTGGTTAATTCCTTTTTAATTCTTTTGTGTTTAACGTATTTTTTTTTGCTTTGTAAGGAGCTTCAAAACTTTTAATTTGGTTTTCTCCTGATTGTGTTAGATCTTAATAAGAATTCGATGGGCGAGACATGTAACTCGCGTACGATAATAAGAAAGGTATACTTTGGTTGGGAAATCTTAAAGAAGAGATAGCTTCGAATTCAAAATCTGATGTGGGAGTATAATATTAAAAAGGATCTTACAGAAATATGTGTTGTGAAGATGAGAACTACAATAAACTGGCCAGGACAGGGTAAATTGGAGAATTTTTGTTAATGGCGGTGCTGAGAGCTGCCATTTTCTTCATCGTGTGTGACAATCAGTTGCTGAACTGAGACTTTTGAATCGTGGAACGTTGTTGACGTGATTTTTAAAACACGAGCCGACTAATTTTGTCAGCGAATCTTTTTCTCGCTAGGAAGTTTTAATATGACGATTCAGTTTCGTAATGACGTAATTCTTAAGTACTGGGTTTTCCTTTAGACTCATTATACCAACTGAATTCAAATTAATTTCAAGAATAACATTCGTCATCTGGAATGACTTCACAAAATGTTCACCTTGACCTGGAATTCACTTATTTTTTCTACCGGAACAATTGTAACATCCCTCGTGATGGAAACTGAGGTTATAGGAAAGTTATATTACGCTCGCAACTTATATAAACACTGATTTTATGTATTTAAATTTAAACCACGTGGTACTGTTTTTGCTTCTATTAAAATGCTTGGTAATGGTCAACAACTTCATCACAAGTCTAGTTTTTTTTTTAGATTTTTTTATATTTGTTACGCTTTCCTGGTTTGTGGTTTATTTAAAGACGATGTAGCTCTGACTGACATCGAATGAAATTTGTATTTGAATTGGATCCAATTGTTAACTTCTGTATTTTGAAAATATTGTGAGGAAGAGAAAGGCATGGATGTTTTTATATCGTTATAGTGGAGACGTAGTCAAACATTTGCAAGACGTGGTAAATGAAATAATGAACACAGGTTGGCTTGAAAATAAAGTAATTTTTATCTTTAAATTACATCCTTTAAGGTACAATTTGGCTGCACGCGACAGAGACAAGCGACCGAGGCAGGCGACAGAGTTACGAGACCGAGACTGGTCGCTTCCTGTCTGCTCTCTGTACAATCGTATGAAGTACAATTACGAGCG